ACGACCCCCTTTGGGGGAAACGCAACGCATCGAACAGTTTGAGATCCATCGCGCGGTCCACGGCCACCGAAGCCGCCCATGTCTACGCCGATGGGGCGCCTTCCAAGTCGTTACCTACTTACTGCGTTTAAACAGACTTTGCTTCTATATCTCTTCCTCCAAGGAAATGCATCAATTATAACAACATCAGAGCTCAAAGTGAGTTAGCCCTTTAATTTCTCCCGTTCTTCTCTTTGTCGTCATTCTTGTCTACAGATCAAGTTTCGATACCAGCATCAAACGCAGACCGCGTCCTACGCCGGCCGGAGTGACTGCCTTACTCCGATGCTGTCTGCTCATTGGTCTGAACCGCCAGCGCTAACCACGCCTCTGCCTGCAGTGGGTACGGGTTTATCGCGGGACCAGTTGCGGCAACTTTAGAGGCAATCAGGGTGCTCTGCATCCTTACTTCCTCATTGTTACTACGGAATAAGTGTTGATTATCTTCTTCCGTCCGTCTACAGGTCAATCTGTAGTCCAGAAAAAGAGCCTTTCTACTCCTAGGCTCCGTTGCACTCCAACGATCATGGCCATCGCAACTGAGCCTACCCCAGCAACTCAGGCTACCTAGCGCTTCTCAAACACCATGACGATAAATACCCCAGGTAGCCCGCCCGTCTCAGCCCGATGTCGGCATAATACACTTCTCACTATGCTTGAGACTGATCAGATGACTTGACGACAGGGAAGATAAACCCCCTGTCCAATTTTGTTCACTTCCGCCTTTATTAATGCAACTCTGGCCCTCAATTTCTACTTTGACTGGGGGCCGGATTGTTGGCTGGCATACACTCGACAACAATCATCACCCACACAGCTGTGCGAATGAAAGTGATACAATTCAATCTTCAGATGCATGCCGTAACCCACGCAATGCAACGCGATGCTAAAATATCAAGACTGGTGATAAAATCATGGTCCACGTGCAGCAACTCCAACACCTTCATCAGACATAGACCCTTGATGAGCCAAATCGTAGTCTACCAGCCTAGCTCTGTTCCTCCTCTTTCTCACGCATGTGCTTCACAAATGTTTTTTTGTGAATCATGCCTGCATATCGTCCATCCTTGGTCGCACAAATGTATCGTAGACCAAGCTTTACAAAACACTCGTAAACAAGATCTGTCGGAGACCGCAAATCAAGTGCCACCGGGGCCTAGTCACCGTCAGCAGTGTTTCAAGAGTGTCAACATGATTGGTCAAGTCACTTACAGGGTCAATGTATGGCGTGAAGTCAGTAGGATCCACAGTGTCGTCCTCGTCCTCGTCCATGCTAGGGACTCGGTCCATAAGACACAAGCTAGTCGCCTCTTCCTCAAGTTGATCAAGTGCAAACTCCAGATCCGGCGCTGGAATCAGTCCCACCAGAATATCATGTCGTAAGATTGGTAGCCCGCCATCAAGTTCCCCAGCACGATGCAAAATTTCCAACTTTGACCTGAGCTTGGTCGCCGCCACAAGTGGGGAGTTGGTAATGTCAATAACTCTCTCCCGCCGAAAGCGTGTGATGATATCAGCCAGGTCGCCTGTAAAGACAGGCTTGTGCTTATTATCTAAGAATGGGTAGGCGTTCATCGAAGTTAGTAGGTCCTGGTCCTGGTTAGCGGGCTGTTTCTTGTCGCGGACAAAAAAAGAGCTTTCACTTACATAGATGCTGTTGGGCTCTATTGCATCTGCTGTCCATTTCGCCACCAGAATGGTTAACGAGAATGGCAAAACATAGTCCAGACTGCCCGTCAATTCAAACAGAATGACGGCCAGTGTGACAGACAGGCGTGTGACACCACACATTGTTGCCCCAGCCGCAATCAGCCCATAGACACCGGGTTGAATGCAGGTACCGTCGGCCTCGGTGGCGCAGTTCCCCCAGATTCTCCAGTCGGGAGCCGCCAGAACAAGCCACTGAACCAGGTGACCTACCATGCGGCCCATGAGACCACCAACAACCATGGATGGAATGTATATGCCCGCAGGAACCTTGATTCCAAAGGTAATGACGGTCAGGAATCCCTTGATGAGAAACGCAACTACAAGAGTCTTGAGAATTCCTGGAATGTCGTCGACAGAGTTGGGACACAAGCCTAACTCGTCACGATTCGCATCAGTCGAGTCATCGCAAGGAGACGCGAGGTTGAGGAGCAGCTTTGCCACTGGCAGTTTCGTCAATGCATTCCAATAGCTCAACAAACCTGTCATCAATGCAACGAGAAAAACTTCAAACATGGGGTATCTTTTGATCACCTGGAGACGCCGGAAGGTGTGTGCCCAATATTTGGACGCTTTGATGAATAGCGCACCAAGTGCACCGCCAAGAATTCCCACCAAGAAAAAGCTGCCCAGTTCAAAGAATTCCCAGTCAACTAGGTATCGAACTTGAAACATAACAATCTTGTGTGTTCCATAAGGATTCAAGAATTTGAGGGACAGTGCGGCGACAATGCAACAGAAGAATGTTCTGAAGAGGGTTTTCGCTGGGAAGAAGTACGACACTTCCTCTAGACCAAACAACACCCCTCCAAGAGGAGCACCAAAGGCAACGGCTACACCAGCTGCGGCAGCTGCAGATAGAACCTCGCGTCTCTTGGCATCGTTACGATCGTACTTCGAAAATAGGCGGCAAGCGATATTTCCAACACAGGCAGCCATGTGCACGTAGGGACCCTCTTTGCCAAGACTCAGGCCGGAGGCAACTGAGAATACCAACGCGACCATCTTGATGACGAGCGTCTTGAGGCCAAGGAAACCGTGTAGGACAAAACCACTTAGGATGACTCGGACCTCAGCAACACCGCTTCCTGCAGCGGCATAGTATATCATTGGCGGGTTTGCTTCCGGTACATCCTCTTCGGGAGCTGGACTAGAGCTATCGTCGGTTCCGAGGTCAGTTGCTGGTTGCGGCAGCTGCTCTGCTGCCAGGTTTTCGTCCAAAGTAGTGAGCTGATAAGATGAGGCGACAACTGTTCTGGTCCAAAGCGCAATCCAGCATGAAAAGGTAGCGAGCGCGATGACTAGGAACAAATAGACGAGATAGTCGGTCCAATGTGCTGCAAGTGAGTGGATTCGAAATGCTTGCGACCAGCTTTTCCAGTCTTCACAGGCACCTTTAGGGCAGCATTTCTATCACCACATTAGCTGGACCACAGGCTGATACACAGTGGAGAACCTCACCTTCTCATCCAAGTACCAAGCTCTAGCACAGAAACCATCTTTGAAGTCAAAGACTGTAGATTCCGTGACATCGACAGCGTATGCAATCAATGCGATGATGACACCACACAGGGCACTGAGAAACCATCCTTGTGCACCATCTAAAGCGTTTAATATTCGGCCTCGCACATCTTTTCGAGCACGGAGAGCCTTGACCCGATGCGAATCGGCGATGGTATCGTGCACCCAGTCGGTACTGGTAAATTGGTCGTACCAAACGCGCTCCTCTGGGAATATTGAGCTTTTGGATTCTGCCAGACTGCTTCGGCCTTCCCCGAGTGCGGAAACAAGGCGCTGACCCCACGAAGGCTGCCGACTGTGGTGTCTCGTACCGCGAAGACTACCTGTATACCGCAACACGTAATTAGCCGATACACCTCGCAGCGCGGCTAGGGAAGAAGATCGAGGACAACGAACCCGTTTGGCTCTGGTGGCGAGACAGGCGACCAATAGGTCTCGGGGATCGGCCGCCATTATCTATACGGATGCGGGATCTAGAGGTATTTAACAGCGGAGAAAGTTCGCTAGGTTCGGCGGTTGAGTGATGTCGGTGGTAAGGTCGTCGTGAGGCTCGTGGAGAATCTGGCTGCTGTTGCGTGCCGTAGTCGTCGCTCTGCTGGGAGTCCATCTTGCTGCCAAAGATAGAGCTTTGGGGCCCGCTCGTGAGGCGTATAAAGAAAGGTACCTAGGTAGGTAGCAATCGCTCAACCGAGTCAGGTGAGTTCCGGGGAGTCACAGCTCAAGCCCAGTTGGGCTAGGTAATGCAAAAAATCGGTTTAAAGTTGCATTATTTACAGCAGTGACGAGCAGAGCGAACCGGGGGTTGTGTCGACAGCCAGCATAAGGAAGTTGAGGTAGATGGTATAAATATCGAAATAGAGGAGGAAAGGAAGCAACTCTGAGGTTGCGTCGCGAGGCACGCTTCCCGTGCTATGAAGATGCACCAGACCTCGAGCAGGGAGGTGTGGCCCGTATCCATGCATGTATGGACAGACGAGGTTCACGTGGACGGTAGGATTGCGTCTCGAGTCTCTCCACACCGACAAGTTTGGCGGCCCGCAATAATGGTCAGTGTCCCGCGATTGGGCGGGGGAGGAGAGATCATTTGTTTACTTGATGATGTGGTTGCAAATACGGGTAGAGAGCAATGAGGTCGAAAAATAAAACGATACCCTTTCCCCATGTCTTGACGCAGATGCACCTGCGGGAGAGGTACCTGACGGCGGGCGGCCAGCCACGGCACGTCGTTGACAGCTGCGGGTCTGAGGAGGGAAGGCCTAATACAACGTAAACAGGTGGCACAGCGTGATGCAGTGCTGTGGCATGGCGCAAGCTTAGGTATTTCCCAATTTAGCGGCTTCAACCAGGCGTCAAGGCTACCTAGGCACACTAGGTACCTAAGCAACTAAGGTACCTCTCCAAGTAGATTCCAGCCGCTGCTCTCCAACACAGGAGAACTCTCACCAATGTCAGCCGGTTTTATACCCAAGAGTGGCCTGACAGGGCTGGGTGGCTAGGAATAGGTAGGTAGTAGGCTGAATAAATAATTTCGGGTGGTACATGCCTTAAGTAAAACATGATGAAATAAGTAGTTATCACTGCGCTACGCCTTCATACGTTAAGTGCTTTTTATTTAGCTACCTAGGTAGGCGCGCGTATAGTTGGCTAGCAGCTATCTATTTAGGCGGTCAGAACCTACCTACCGTGCTATCTAAATACCTACCAATTAGGTACATCTGATTAAGTGGGGCCCGGGGTCTCTCGCGGGGCAAGACGCACGCTGGAACTTCCAGTCGAGGGTCCCAACTCGCGCCTCGTAGCACTTGGCTGTCTCGAGTATCACCTGCACCGTCGACAGGTCATTTGTCTCCAAGCCAAGGCGGCAAACATGGTCCATCCGTACAAAATGGAGCAGCTGATATACTTCACCATATGATGAGTTTTTCAGAATGCGGATCTCATTAGGAAATTATTTTCTGTCGGCCTCATGTAGGGCCTGGCGGCATCAATCAATATACACCAGTCTGTATACTGGTCTGCCCCACATTTCTTCCCTTATCTTATCAGTGCCCAAAAATTTCCCCGTTGCCAGAAAATCCCATCATCGGCTGTCCGTCCAGCCCAGCCGTCCATCTACAATACGATAGATTCGCGAAAATGGGCAAGAAAAGAAAGACATCCGGTCGTAATGCCGACTCCAAAGGCCCAAGAGACTACGATCCCAAGGATGCCCGTCTCGGCCCCATCAGTACATACGAAGATGTCGCCAATTCTGAAGACGAACATTTCCTCAACCAAGACACGATAATGCTCGACGATGAGCCTGACAGTAAACGTCGTCGCCAAGACGACGACATGGAGCTTTCCGATGAAGAGATACTTGGCTATGAAGACTCAGATTCCGAAGACGATGCCGCTCCTATCTCTGGGAAGAACGCCTCGGCTGTTGCAAAGAAAAAGGCCATCGACGACCAAGACGACCAAGAGGAAGAGGAAGATGAAGATGCTGGCTGGTGGGGGTCCTCTAAGAAAGAATACTACGATGCCGACAAGATCGAGACAGAAGCCGACGCCCAAGAGGAAGAGGCCGAGGCCAAGCGCATTCAAAAGAAAAAGCTCGCCAAGATGCAGGAACAAGACTTTGTCTTTGACGGTGATGAGTGGCTTGCGGCCGAGGGCGATGCACAAGATGGCGAGGAGACTGTCACTGAAGTTCTCAAAGAAATCGAGGTTACCGACGACATGACACCAACAGATCGATACCAGCTTCTGGTCACAAGGTACCCGGAATTTGAATACCTGGTCGCCGAATTCGAGACCCTGCAACCAAAACTAGTCGAGCTGAAGGCTGTCGCCGATTCAACGTCGCCTCAATCTCTCGAGTCTGTCAAATACTGGGTCCTTGGTTGCTACGTCGCTGCTCTTGCTAGCTACTTTGCTATTCTAGCAGCACCTGCTCGAGACGCCGGACAGATTCAGAAGCCCATCGATCCATCAGAATTGCGCGATCACGACGTCATGGAAACTCTTGTTCAATGTCGTGATGCTTGGACCAAGGTTCAGAATTTGCAATCCCTACAATCTGCCGCCGACGTCGACAGTGAAATCGCCGTTGACACCGCTGCAAGCGCGGAGATTGTCGTTGAGAAACGCAGCAAGAAGAAAGCCGCCAAGGACAAGGTTGATGCAGCGAAGAAGAAGGCTCAGCTGGCCAGAGCCAAGGAGATTGAAGCATCTGTTGCCGACCTGTATGGCCTGCCGTTGTCCAATGGCAAGTCGAAGAAGAGATCAAGGACAGTCGCCGCGCCCCAGGAAGACGATGAGTCCGACTTTGGCGAGGAAGACGCCCTTGATGCCCGAACTGCCGCCGACAAGGCTGCTCGCAAGAAGAGTCTCAAGTTCTACACATCTCAGATTGCTCAAAAGGCGAATCGCAGAGCCGGCGCTGGACGTGACGCCGGTGGTGATTTGGATATTCCTCACCGCGAGCGTCTCCGCGACCGCCAGGCCCGACTGCTCGCCGCCGCCGAGAAGCGCGGCAAGCGAGACTCCAAGCACGGTGCCGATCTGGGCGACGACAGTGACGAGGGCGACGACGCCGCCGCCAAGGCGGTCCGTGGCGAGGAGGACGAGTACTACGACATGGTCGCCAACAAGGCCAAGGAAAAGAGAGAGGACAAGGCCGCGCGCTACGCCGCGTACGCCGCCGCCAGCAAGGCCGACCGCGTGGTCGAGGTGGAGCAGGTTGGCGAGGACGGCAAGCGCAAGATCAACTATGCGATTGAGAAGAACAAGGGCCTGACGCCAAAGAGGAGCAAGGACGTGCGCAATCCCAGAGTCAAGAAGAGGAAGCAGTACGAGGCCAAACAGAAGAAGCTCAAGAGCATGAAGCCCGTCTGGCAGGGCGGTGAGCCCAAGGGCGGATACAAGGGAGAGCAGTCGGGTATCAATGTTGGCGTTGTCAAGAGTACGAGATTATAAAAGCGTCGTGTCCATAATAGAATCATTCGAACCCTGCTGGTCCTGCCACTTATTGGATGCCAAGTTGCTTGTAAATCATATCAGACGGAATATTAAGCGACAATATCATCAGCTCCAGACTACTTTAAAGGCAACTATGGCAAACGCTTTTGTAGAATTGTAAACATGATCAAAATTTTCACACCAGCGACAGATGGATAATCACGCGTCCTTCTCCAACGGCAGCTCTTCCTCGTACTCCTCGTCATCCCCATCAGCAGCACTTGCTTCCTGATACTGCTGATACTCGGAGATGAGGTCCTTCATGTTTGATTCAGCCTCGGTGAATTCCATCTCGTCCATGCCTTCGCCTGTATACCAATGCAAGAATGCCTTGCGTCGAAACATGACGGAAAACTGGGCATCGACGCGCTTAAAAATGTCCTGGATGGATGTTGAATTGCCGATAAAAGTGGACGCCATTCTCAGGCCTTTGGGCGGTACAGAACAGAGCGCGTTTTGGATATTGTTGGAGATCCAATCGACGAAATATGAAGAGTTTCTGTTTTGGACCTTGCGCATTTGGTCTTCGACTTCCTTCATTGCAACTTTGCCGCGGCTATTTCAAAAAATCGGGGGGTCAGAGAGACAAATTTGACAACTCCAGTTTTGAGTCAGATAGATATACATACAAGATGGCGCAGCAGGTCAAGAAACGGCCGTTGCGAAAGTCGGACGCGGCCATCATGTTCTTTGGGTCAAACATTTGCTGGGTAAGCTCCGAGACGGACACGGCCCGGAACGAGTGAGAGCCTCGACCGGTCAAGGGGGCGAAGCCGACGGTGAAGAAATGGAGACGAGGAAAGGGCACCAAATTGACAGCCATTTTGCGCAGGTCCGAGTTTAGCTGGCCGGGGAAGCGAAGGCACGTCGTGATGCCCGACATGACCACAGACACCAAATGGTTGAGGTCCCCATAGGAAGGCTCAGAAAGCTTCAAGGTCCGCGAGCAAATGTCATATAGCGCCTGGTTATCGATGCAGAACGTCGCGTCAGAATTTTCAACCAGTTGATGGACCGACAGAGTAGCATTGTACGGTTCGACAACGGTGTCCGAGTTGCCAGGGGACGGCACAATCGAGTACGTCGCCATCATGCGATCCGGGAATTCCTCGCGGATCTTGGCAATCAGCAGAGTACCCATGCCGGATCCCGTGCCGCCGCCGAGCGAGTGCGTAATCTGAAAGCCCTGGAGGCACTCGCAGCCCTCGGCTTCCCGGCGGACCACGTCGAGGACCTCGTCGACAAGCTCGGCACCCTCGGTGTAATGGCCCTTGGCCCAGTTGTTTCCGGCGCCGGACTGGCCAAACACAAAGTTGTCGGGGCGGAATAGCTGGCCGAGGGGCCCAGCGCGCACGGCATCCATCGTGCCCGGCTCGAGATCGATGAGGACCGCGCGGGGCACGTAGCGATCGGAAGCCTAAGAGATGTGAATTGTGGATTGGCATCATCGACTAGGCCGCAAAGGATTGGACTTGAAAAGATGAATTTTTTCTTCCATTCGTACCTCGTTAAAGTAGACGTCCATGCGTTCAAGCTGAAGGTCGGAGGAGCCATGATAGGCGCCCTGGCTGTCGAGGCCATGCTCGGCAGAGATGGTCTGCCAAAAGGCGCTGCCGACTTGGTTGCCCTATATATGGGCTTCAGATTCAGATTTTGGCGGGAAAATATTGACGAGTATCACTTACGCATTGGCCTGTCTGAAGATGGACCTGTGGGAAGCGAGAGGCGATTGTTAGCAATGCATCGAGAGGCTGGTGTAGCTCGTCGCGATGGTTCAAGACGGGACTTACTATCTCACGCATATTAACGGCTGAAGGTACCGAGGAAGAAATAAGACGATAATTCTGGGGAGCGAAAAGCTTGAAGAGGGACAAAAAATGGTCAGAGGGGCCGAGAAAAATACAACAAGAGTGAGTTTGGATGTGTAACCCTCTTTATCGGAAGCAGCTGACTTTGCGCCCACAGTAACTACAATGAGACATTTGTTACTTTTTTCAAGGTAATGTCAGCTCATTCGCCAGGCAGACGTATTTACCGGTCTGCTTCAAGTGCCCGCGTTCCGTGCTGTTGCCTTGCCGCCCATATTAAGCCAAGAGGGGGACTTGCAGTAGCTTCAGCTGGCCAAGATGAACCCTTTGCCCGCGAGCAGTTTCCGCAGTCCCCCCTCCTGTCAGGCAGCCATGCATTGCATGCACCATACCTCATGCATCAACTATGCATCGTGCCGGGCAGCAGCGAGGTCTTTTCGCCGTTTTCGGTAGATGAACACCCACTGGCTCGGCCTAATCTCGCCAGCTCTTGAGTTGGCAACTAATAGACTTCTTTATGTATGCAGGCCTTGGCACATGCGCAAACTTCATTCTTGATTGCGCCCATGCCAAATTAAGCGTTATAATTAGGATAAGCCGTATCCTAAGCAGATTCTTACTTGAATCACTTGCAAAGGCATTTTGGGGGGGGGGGGGGGGAAGCACTAGTTCCTGAAGCAGAAAGCATGTCCCGCGATTTAGTCTTCGAGGTCCTTATATTGTAAAAATGCGCCGCGCTGCTGTATCAAAGATCCAGCGGCTATCAAAGAAGACAAATTGCAGTAGGGAACGAAAAAAAGAAAAACGAAAATAAGAATCAATCTCAATCCAGGGGAGGCAATCAATTTTTTCCAGGCAGCTGTCGCGCTTGCTCGCAAGCAGCTGCAGTATTTGCCTGCGGGCGGCTGTAGCGGCTGATTGCGTGCAGCCGCAGCTCTTTCCGAGACGTCTTGACCAACTGCAGGTCTGTGTCGCTGCCGCAGTCGCAACAGCTGCCCCTTATATTACGCCTAGTTTGATGTTTGATGGCTACCTAGTTGTAGCCTCGATAAGGGACTTTAAGTGATCCGTTTACCCAAAATCGTTTCTAGTAATTACTACCACTCCTGATACTTACTGCGAGTGATGTATGGCTGATTGTTATTACTACCTCGTACTGCTCCAATGCTACGTGCACGCCACTCGCACACAGCTACGTGGCATACACGGGCCGACCCATCAATAGGCATAGACTAGCCATTTATAGGCGTAACGCGGGTGCTGGACGCTCGATTTTCCCGTTTCAGCGTCGAGCTATGATGCGTATACACCGGACTGTTTCAGCCATCCGCAAGTTTCAAGCTACGTGGTCCAATTCGCCAGTGTGACGCGCTATTCTGTAATAGCTTTACATTATCAGGTAGGCTCTACGTCATGCATGCATCGTTGTAGTACCTGCGTATAGCCTCTTGTAGTGCTGCTTGCATGTATGATCATATGATGTAGAGATCCTAGGTCGAATACGACTTCACTGATCATTCCGCCTGTATAAGCAGTGGTTCGTGTCCCAGATCTACATGCATGTAGTCAGTGAGGTCGGAACTTTGTCACTAGAGTGTTGTGGCCAACGGTTCCAATCTTTTCGTGTGGCTCGTCGCCTTCAGCCGCCGGAAGACGATCCAACATGGAGACCGCACGCAGCATCTTCTCTTGAGTAAGGCTTAGAGAGTTACTGTTGTTGTTATTGTATGAAATAACGCCTGGGGGTCTCTATGTAAAGGCAAGAGGCGCCCGTCGGGTACCGGAGTTTATGCTCCGGTTCCTGACAGCGATGTTGCCCAAGCGGCAAGCTCGCTGCCAGTCAAACAAAAGTACTATCACCTTACCATTATCCATTATTGGGACGTTGTAAGAGCAGCTTAGCTTAACTATATCCAGCGGTGGCGGAAAGGCTTAGATGGTGAGCTAGCGGCCTGTGATGAGCTGCTGCAAGACAGAATGGAAGAGTCAAAATGGACACGTAGTAGTTCCATAATTGACACGTATTGAGTCAAGACTGGCACGTACGGCCTTGAAGTGCTTTTTGTTTGGCTGGTCACAAATTAGACTTGAGCCTTTGGTGGAAGTCGTGCTTGCCGCCAAGGGTGGCTTGGTTATGCTACGCGATCATAACTACAAGAAGAAGAGCATCACCTTCATGTTTTAGCAAGTGATTTCTGAAAGGGCACCAACAGACCTTGACACGCTGCACCACTTATTTCGACTACATTCACCCTTCCTACAGCTTTATTGTCAGAAACATGGCAAGCACGAACCCGGAGATCCATCTTTGGCAGCAAAGCCTCAAAGATAGAAGCCAGTACGAAGAATCCTTCAAGCAGATTTTTGAGTCGAAAGAGCCGCGGTGCGAAGGTTGTGAACTACTGGTCAGCTACGATGACGAGAAAGCAACGCAGTTGGCGGCGTCCTTGGATAGGTTGTGGGTTTACGACAGAGTCGCTGATGATCCTAATATCACGTCGGAAACTTCTCGAGACATTGGAGTAATGACGGAAGATTCGCCACAGGATTTGCGATGGTATGTATGGGCTGGGAGAAGAAGAGCCCTGTCGAAAAACGATGTCAGTGACGGAGATGTTGAAGCGCCTACGGTTTGGAGAGGTTACAACGTCAAGGACTTTACAGTGGAAAACCCATCGTCTGATCGGATCTGCCTCATGCACGGCATTAAATGGACAGACCTCATGCTTACGGCTGTGGAATTTGGCCCAGCGATCAAAAGAGTCATAACTCAGATGCAGTCGAGTTCCACCGAGCTGACACCACGCCTACGACGGCCAGCAAAGAGCATAGACAAAGGGGTGGCGACGCCACACACAATAGCTGCTTGGCGTGAGTTCACAGGGGAGGAGGTAGGAATGCGAGACCTGGTGTTGGGCCACTGGCACACCTGGTACATACTCTCGATACTCTCTAGTACCGAGAGTGGCGGTCTCCTTGCAGCCAGCGCCGCAGAGTGCCTCACCACATATACAGACTATGTTGATGTCACAGATGGCGGCGACGTGGGCTTGGCGGGTGACCATATGAAGTTGGCGTTTGATGGCATGACCTCGCCGTTTATAGCGAACTGTCCTGGCGCACGCGCAGCAATCTGGACCGCAGCAAGTGTCATACGTTATAGGGCCTTGTTGGCCCGTGACTTGGTTCCATGGCGTGCGTCTATTCACGACAAGGGTCCGCCGAATACACGAGCGGCCTTGGTAGCCGCACTGCCGGATCCTCTGGAACTCACGAACCTGCGAATGCTCGACGGGTCGATGCTTGCCTCTTACTTGGCAACAGTGGCTGGCACTCTGCCCGACCAGCGCCCAAGCATGCACGGCGCGACAATGTCTGGGCATACAAGCTGTGTGCTGGTTAGACGGGCGACCTCGAACCTGTACAAGTACAATGATATTACAGACTTGCAGTCGGACATAACCATGCACGAGGCCATGAACCCGCTCGCCTTTGCCACAGTCGTCAACGGAGGCCAAGTCGGCATACAATATCTCTCGGCAATCAGTCGCGACGCTGATCTTGTGTTGTCCTGCGGGTGCGATTCAGATATGCACCAATGGGCACATGACATGGCCATGGGCTCCAACGTGTGGTATGCTCTTTGCCCGCGGTACAATGCGCTGCAACAAGTTGGTCTCTACCATGAAGAGTGCCCAGATACACTCTTTGACGGGCTACCAATGATAGTCACCACCGCCAGCATGGGCAACACGGCAAGCGCTGCCTCGAATGATCAGGCAACTTTTGACAGGGACTGGAACTTGGACAAGAATCCGACAACGCTCGCCTCAGAGTTTGGTATAAGCCAGGACGGGCATGATGCTGAAGTCGCCATTCGCGTGGTTGCTCGGATTTTGCCCATGCACGACATGAAGGCCGTGCATGCGGAATGCCTTGCCCGAATCAAGGCCAATCCGCAATGGTCGCGAGATGAAGGACCTGCGCAGACGGGAGGACTCTTGGTGCAGCTCATCAGTGACCTCGCACTTTGTTATGAGATCATGGACCATGACGAGCTTGACGAGCTAACGGGCTACCTGAATGAGTACATTGAGCTTACGGTCATCTCATGCGAAGAACAGAAGGATGGCCAGGTCCCTACGTACCTCACTGATGAGTTTTACATGCGCCAATCCAGGCTCTACATCAACTTTTATGACTTTATGTCGAAGAAGCATGCTTTACAGGACAAAGGGTTGCACTGCAGGCGATTCGCAGTAGGCGCCATGTCGCTCTTCTTTGACAGTTGGAAGTATGGCTCTTATGTGGCTATAGCTCGATATGCAGGGCTCTAAGGGAGAATAGGCCTCCTTTTCTGTCTCTTCTTTGATCATTTCTTATATTCTTGGGTATAGAGCTTAAAGTCATAGGCAGTGATGACATTCGCACCACGCCTAGTTTGAGAATTCAAAAGAAACTTGCTATATTTACCGTATAAACTGTTCCGTTAATGATGTAAAATCGAGTTTTTTTTTTAGTGGAAAAGCTTTGCCAGATTTCAGTAGCTATTAGGAGATGGTGGTTTGACAATCGTTCATCTCCAAGTCTCGATAAACTCTAGAAATGATAAAGACGATTTATATAAATAGTAAAGAAGTACTCGACTAACTATAATACTTTAGTTCACATATACTAACTCCATACATTTTTTTTCTTAGGCCTTCATATACTAACTACTACTTTTAATAGACGCTTGGAGGTATACTCGGTCGGCATAAGTAAATTAGTGCAGATACCTTTGTTCACGCCCTGGGAGTACTAGAGAGACATGTTTCTACGAAAAGAATTTAGAAAATTGTTCAAGCAATACGGCAAGCATTGTCGGCCAAGATCTTTATGAAACCGAATATATCCTTACAAGTTAATGCTGGATTGCCATGTCGCTTGCAGCGGCAAACTACCACCATAGACAAACCCAGTGCCCCACCAGGCAGATGTGTCGAGTTAGACGTCAACCTTGCATCTCAGAGACCAGGACAGCATCGCGAGCAACAGCACCCGTTGCTGAGCTGCTACTGAATTATTATGCATCCATAACACTCTCTCCAACTCGATCAACAGCATATGCAATCAACCACGAATCTCTCATCTTCTTGGGCGGCCGATAGTTTCCCACAATGACATCTCGCGACCCCTCGACGTACGAAAGCTCAGAGGAAATCTTCTCCTCGACGCTGACGCTCCCTCAAATCCGATCGCTCCACAAAGCTCTCCATGTACAAATTGACGAAAAGTCCAGCCGTCTGCGCACGCAAGTCGGCGGGTCGTACCGAGAACTGCTGGGCACCGCCGACGCCATTGTTGGAATGCGACGCGACAACGACGAGGTGCAGCATGTCCTCGCTACCATGGGCAGCCGCTGCGGGCGGACAGTTGTCACTTCCAAAGCTGCCAACCTGAAAAGCTTTACAGCCAAACAGGAGAATTCTTCTGCCTCGGCTGCGATACGACTGCGTCTTCTGGAGGCCTGTGCCTTGGTGTCGGAGCGCCTTCTCAACGGTGGCAGCGGACTCAGAGAAGGCACAACAAAGGGTGATCGATTGGTTCTCGCAGCAAAGGTTCTTGCGCTGAGCAGGCTTGTAATAAAGAGCCTCAGCGACAGCGCCTCCCCGCCCGACACTCACGCCTCAGCAGAGGTACTCAAAAAATCGCTGGACGCGCTCCGGCGACGTCTGCGAAGACGTGTGGAAAAGGTTCTTGAGAGGCCTAGCGATGACTCACAACGTCCCGACATCCTGAAGGCGTTGTGTGTTCCGAGTCTCATATCAAGCTCTGGGGCAAAGGATGCTTTGCGGTTTTTTCTAGAAACGCGCAAAAACGCCATGATCCAAGCATTTGATGTCGAAGAGAGCGAGCGAGCGCGTACGCTTGAGAATGTCATGCATGCACTGCGGATATATACGCGAACACTGCTAGACGTTCAAGCTTTGTTGCCGACAAAGCTTCCCGAAGCACTGTCCAATCTCAAGAAGCATCCACTGGTGGAAGATGAGACCTTGCAGGGCATTGAAAATCTACGACTAGATGTATATGGACGGTGGTGTACTGAAGAGTTTCAATACTTTACGCCATTTATCCGACACGACGACCTCGACGGCAAGCAGGCCCGCGAAATGCTGTCAAAGTGGGCGGAAGATGGATCTCAGTGTTTACTCAAAGGCCTCAAGCAGACATTGGAGGAAATGACAGATTACAAACACATCATGGAGCTTCGTACAAAGGTTCTTGAGCTCTGGATACGAGATGGCGGCAAAGCCAAGGGCTTGGATCCGCAAGAACTGCAAGATAACTTGCGCCAGGTCATCAATGAACGCATGCATGCAGTCTTGGGGAATAAAGTCTCAAAACTTCGACTAGTCGGTTCTGAAATTACGGCTACGCTTCAAAATTGGCAGCCTGGTGTTAGCGACAAGCAAGAAGAGCTCTGGGATCCGGCCGGCTACGATGACGCGCTTGCGATTGGCGCAGCACAATTCTTGCAGGAGGTTGATTCACGACTATACGGAAGGAATAACGCAGTTTCCAAAGCTGTTAACAGTTACATGTCCTGGTACAAGGTCATTGACGATGTCAAACATATCGTTGATGCGCTCAAAAAGCAGCGCTGGGACAATGACTATGACGAGGTAGAAGACGAAGAGACCATCGAGGCAAGACAACAGGCGCTAGGCAAGGAAGACCCCAAGCAGCTGCAAGACAAGCTCGACTCCGCGCTAGACAAGGCATACAAGGAGCTGGAAGCTCACCTGACGGAACTGTGGGAAAAGGAGAAGGATGGGAAGCACAGTAAGGATGTTGCGACGTATTTCTTGCGTGTAATCCGCGACATCCGAAGCAAGCTACCCGACCGTGTCGCGATACAGACGTTTGGCCTTGACATGTTGCCCGCTTTGCATGCCAAGGTCGCTCAAGACGTGGCGGATGCAGCCATTGAGGACTTTTCACTTTCGGGGCTCTCTGTCCGGGTCGTCGCTGGCAAGCCGCTATGGGAGGGCGATCCTCTCATTCCCAGTCAGCCCTCGGCGGAGCTATTCAATTTCATGCATGGTCTGTCAATCACCATGTCAGAACTCGGTATCGATTTATGGACCGCGGGTGGTCTGAAAGCACTGAAACAGAGACTCGGTGAAGGGCTGCGCGTTGCGTGGGCAAAGGAGCTAGAAAATTTGACTGGCAAGGTCTGTTCCACGGATGATGCGGTCAAGGCGAAGTCGTCAAAGAAAAAGGCAAAAAAGGGCAAAAAGCCCAAGGACGAGGCCAACGAGGCGGACAAGATGGAAAATGCCGATGGAAAAGCAGATGAGGAGGCCGCTGACGACGACGAAGAAGAAGAGAAAGGCGCCGATGACAAGCGGGCTAGTCCAGAGCTGGTCAAAGATTTATGCACGCAGTGGTTGTTTGATATTGCAATCTTGCAGAATTGCGTTGGAAAGGACGAGACTGCGGCAAAGAGTCTTGCGCACCTGGCAGAGCAGGTATACAAGCACACGGGCATCAGTGATGAGGCTACGCGCAAGCGCATTGTCAAGCAAGCTGGTGAATTCTGGCAACGCATCAGCCTGCTCTTTGGCTTGTTGGCATAGCAGAGCCATAGTCAACTCCAAAAATAGACACGACAACGAAGATTTTTTTGCTCATCGTACCATCTATTGATAGAATGTGATTTTACTCGAACAACAAAAAGAGTTCTTCTAAATGCAACAACGCCCCCTACCGCTACAGCTTATGCCGCTTCTCTCCCGCAGCCAGCTTCCGAAACTCTTCCTGCGGCAAGCCCCTAACGAACCGGTGCAAGCCAGCCATGACCTCCTTTGAGTTTTGCGACTCTATGATGCCACGCTCCGGCGCCTTGAGCAGGCTCTTGATGCCCGTCATGCTCTCGCCGTTGAGGTGGTCGCCCATGGTCTCATCCACCTCTTGCAGCACGCGCGCGTGAAACCCTTGCCAGTCGGGCTCGTCAAACACGGCATTCACAAAGCCGCAGCGCTCGAGCGCATCGGCGTTGATGCGGCGGCTCGCGATGAGGGCCTCGGCCGCGCGGCCCGGTCCCAGACGGAGGGCGAGCGCGCGCGAGGACCCGCCCTCGGCGACGAGGCCGAGCGACGAAAAGGGTGTGAGGAGAAACGTCTTGGGCGTGCAGTAGACAAAGTCGGCGTGGCCGACGAGGGCGGCCGACAGGCCGACGGCGGGGCCGTTGAGGCCAAAGACGAGGATTTTGGGGTGCTCGGAAAAGGCGAGCGTGGTGTTGAGGTTGAAAGCGGAAAAGTTTTGCAGCCAGTGCAGGTAAGCATCCTTGGGCTCCGTCGGGCTGGCTCTGCTGATGCTGACGTCGGCGCCGCTGCATTTAAATAATAATTCCCCATCATGTTAGTTATTCGTTGATTGTTGAATTGGGGGGGCAGGATGAAAGAGATTTCAGGTTGAGGAAAGGGGGCAGTCTTACGCGGAAAAGTAGCGGCCCTTGCCCATAATGACCGTCACAAAGACTTCATCGTGCTTTTCAATCTCATGCAGATACTGGGCAAGCTGAAAGTAATCCTGCTGCGTGAGGGCATTGAGCTTGCTCTGGTTGTCAATGGTAAGAAGGGCAACGCGGCCGCGGTATTCCAGGTTGATGACCTTGTCCGCCATGGTGTAGAGGGGGGGGGGGGGGGGCTGTTGCCGATGACTTTGTTGTAGATTAAGTAGGGGTGATGTGGTCAAGTTCCAAGGTTGGATGTTGGATGCAGGTGTGAAACAGGGTTGGACAGAGATGTATATCGACGCACAAAAAAAAGTCTCGTGTATAGAGTATATATAATTCAATGGTCCGGATCTTGCGTCAAGATATGAACTAGAGGTAATGAAAACCTGAAAGCTTGCAAAGGAAATGTTTAAATGTCCCCCGAACCAACTTCTCCATGGAATAGCTTCCCCAGAGCCGAGGCTACTTTTAGGTGGAGCCGGGGACGGCGCCGTCAACTAGTTGGCTATCCGTCCTATCCGTCTCATCTACAAACAATTCCGTGGGGCTCGGTAAAACTATGACACCAAGATCACTCCGTTCGTACTTGTCCTGTAATGATGGGTAGACGGAATGGGGTGATGTGCTAGTTTCTGAAGAGGCGTCTGCTGAAGCAGCAGCATACAGCCACCTGTACACAGGATAACGTCGCCGTACAGATAAGATATCAGTCACATACATATACTTGAATGGAATGACGAATACACAATTCTCAACTTGTCTACAAAATTGCATTACCATGTCCAGTCCGATATTTCCTAGGCTATTCCTACACAATGCGTAGAAACCAACCTCCCAAACGCCGTGAAGCAGTGTTTTCTGCTATCCTAATGCTTCTTTAACTTTTTTTTTTTTTTTAAAAATGTCCTGCGTTCCCAAACAAGAAGGCGCTGGCCTGCGCTAGCCCTACTTTTTGCGCGGCGCAATATATCTCTGCTTGGGGAAGTCGAGGGGAAGAATCAGTCGCGCAACCGACGTCACATGGCCGTCGGCCTTTTTCGTGACGGGCTTGACGCGCGCGCCGATTTCGCGAAAGTACTGGTTCATGGTCTTGTCGTCGGTGCGCATGTCATGGCGCAAGTCTTGCGTGTCAACCTCAAAGTTGTCCGTGATGCACGCAAACACGCACAGGTGCGTCATGAGCAGGTCAATGTGAAACTTGCGCATTTCGCCCGCCTCGGAAAACTTGCGCCGAATGTTTTCGACGACGGCCTCGGGGGCCGGGGCGAGCGCCTCGCGCAGCTTCTCGCGCGACGGAATGGACCGCGTGCCCTTTTGGCGGCCGGGCTTGGTGTTGAGGTAAAAAGCAACCACAAAGGACAAGTAGCGCAACACGCGCAGGCGCTCTTCGCCCTCGGGGTTGCTGGCAATGGCGTTGACGCGCGAGGCGACAAAGCGCGAGACTGTCTGCACACCCTCCTTGTGGCGCACCTTTTCTTGCCATTCGCGGATGGGCACCATGTCGAGGATATCGGCGCCAATGACCACCTTAGGGTCGTAGGCGTCCTGGATCGCTTCGGCATTGAGGTTGACGGGCGGCAGAGGCTTGGCATCGTCGACAACAGCTTGGAGCTGCTCACGAGTTGCCATTTCGGCAGCAACCTTGCCAACCGATTGGAGCATGGCGCGAGATGCATCGTCGATTTCAGCTGGTTGGTCGCCGGTCTTCTTTTGTGGTGAAATAGCGTTGAGCACACGCTCGTTGATTGCCTTTTTCGCCTTCTTCGTTCCGAATGTTTGACCAAGGTCAGTCTTGAGATCCATCATGCTCTGCTTCGCTCCCTTCTCCTCCATAGCGTCCGCGGAAGCCTGTTTAGCCCGTACAGTGCTGCGCATCACCATCTTCTTCGCCTGCACCACCTCCATCTTGCCAGTCTTGGGGTCATAGATGCCGAGGAAATGGTTCAGTAGTGGCTTAGAACCGGGCTGGGAGTCCTCCTCTCGGGCAGTATAGTTGATGCTGTGATGCGACGTCGAATGCAACATCAGCTTCTTCTCCATCGCGGTCTTGGGCTGTTTGCTCTTGGCTCGGGCCTCGCTTTTCGACTCGTAGTGGTGGAAAACCAAGTCATTTGGAAGTTCAAATCCCGGAGTCATAGCTGACGCGCGTTAGCATCTGATGCCGTGGCTTTTAAGCCTATAAGATGTTTCCGAGTGTCATCATACCGATCACTGGGGGGCAGGACTTGGGTATCACCAGTTTCGACACGCTGACGGTCGCAGGAGGGCCAGCGATAGTGACCTTTTTTTTTGAGGTGGCAGCCGAGTCGGCCACCCTCTTGCGCTTCTTGCCGTATGTCTCAACCATGGTGAGCTGGTTATCGGGATGAGCTTGATGCTGCGCTTGGCTGAGCTGGCGATGGCTCCCAGATTTTTTTTCTGGATCTGCCCGAACTGGCATTGCAGAAAAATTGTCCGCCCGTTCAATACCGGTCGGGCGGTGAGGGCCGAACTGAGTGCCCCACCAGCCATGGGCCCCACTGAAGCTCACAGTACCTAAGCTACAAGGCAGAGTTTCACAGTGGTAGAACAACAAAGCAGAAGAGGTATAAAAAAAAAGGGCCAATCGAAATTCACGATGGGCAGGTGCTTGCATACCATTTTGAAGCTATCTCGAGGCTGCGTCCTAGAATCTGGACTCAATGTGCTACGAATACTGCGCCAGTGCACCGACATGGGAACGATGAGGTCATGTTTACAAGTCACGAGGCCAAAGAATCTAGGATTGTTTGTAGAGCAAATTTGGTATCATTTATCGAGCGACGCGAGGCTTTCAAGGCGTGCGCTACGTGGCAGCTTGCTCATTCTCGAGGCGATCTCGAAACGCCGACTGGTACCCGACCGTTATGTTGTCCATTACCCATCCGTCGCACCATTGGGCGAAACTCCGAGGCTACTTGTAGTGCATTCGCGCCATTCTCCAGCTGAAATCGATAGACTCCTCGCGGAGATTCGTGGTCGTAGCAAAGACAATTCCTTAACCGGTGTGACTTGTGCCCATGGGAGCGTGTCGTAAACTCATGAAAGATGCGTCAAGTCAGGTAGAAGTGCGATACGTTTATTTCCTTTGACAGAGTTAGCACGCAGAGCTCTCGGTTGTTGATGATGATTTTCGAGACTTACGATCTAGCCCTCATCTTTCTTCTCTTGCGCTTGAGGCGCCTGACGCGCTTCTTTCTCCATTTGGCTCTCATCTTGAACGACGAATCTGGAAAATGTTAGTCTCGACTCGTGATGCGAGAATTGGTCGCAGCAGTAGGCCGCATTGCAAAGACAGCCACTTTCAATTGGCTGTCCAGTGAAGCTTCCTCCCTGCCACCACCTTGAATGGTAGCACTTACTTGTCCTGGATGAGAATCGTTGTTGGATAAGGAACAACTCAGAAGGAGGGGTGCGGAATTCCAGCGATTAAGCTACTCCCAGTAGGGCACGTAACCCCCAAGCGTCACGTGTGGGTGCTCGCCTGTTTTGGGTTACTTCGCCCGGCGTTCATTGGCTAATAGTGCTGTCATGATGCAGTGCGGACTCCACTCACACGAAGGCTATCGGATTACTGTGTGGGCGGCTCTTGCTTGCCAACTTGCTGTGATGAACTGCGATGGAGCTGTGCCAGCTGCCGGCTGCTGGTGACGGTCCGCTGCCAGCTGGCAAAAGTTGATTCCGTTTGCTCGTGTTGTTTGGTCGAGAATGTAATAAACACTTGCCGTCGGTCCTATTTCGCGATGTCCTTACTGCAATGCAAGAGTACTTCTACATCATGCCAATCCAAGACCAGTGACTGTGCTACTGCACCAACTTACACGCTACTTGGCTTGCATGAGGCCTCGAAATGCAGCTTGTAGATCGAGGCAACGCCCTCTCCGCGACGGAGCATCCCACCCAAATAGCAGGACGACTCTACCACACGGACTCTCGAAATGAGCCTCACATGAGCAGTCAGTTGCCTCCAATGCACATTCTGCAAACACCAGAGGGCTCAGCCTGTGTGGACCTCTCGCTTACTGGGGCACAGAAGAAATTGCGTTGAGCGACAGAGTTATACTGAAAATCGGGCGAGACCAACTCGCAAAGTGAGCCTCGACTAGACGTAGTTGGAACCTAGGCGCTGATCTATTGTAGTTCGTTTTCGATTGGTCAAGATGCGGAAAACTATGTATCGAGGAAGCACTGCGAAGTCTACGTCGTCCTCTACGAACTCGGTATAAGTCATGTCTACGTTCGAGATCGCAAATCTTGCAATGGGACCTTCGTAAACGGCCTCTGCATCGGAGACTCGCATCGAATGTCACCAGGTTACTTATTGACCGACGGCGACATAATTGAGATTCGACCTTACTGGCAGTTTCTGTTCAAGCAGGAGACTCTTGCGCCGGAAGACTCCCTCAACAAGCTACAAATGCAGGAGTCACAGGTGCGCACAGCTAATTATGGCATCAAATTTGGCTTGCACTGATCTTTCAAGCTTTTTAAAGAAAAGTACACGATTAAGCCTCGTGTGCTAGGCGCTGGGAGCCAAGGTTCGGTCCACCTTGCCGTCAATACGGCTTCCAAGACGCAGCTCGTGTGCAAAATCATAAATTTGAAGCAAGCAGGTACCCGTGGGCAACAGCCGTCATCTCAAAAACTGTTACAAGAGTCCGACATACTTCGACAACTAAAACATGTAGGTGACCAACATTCTCCCTCTTTGTCACCTCTAACTCGGAGAAAGCCCAACATCCTCACTTACGTCGACGCCGTGTGGTCGCCTCATACCCTGTAAGAACCAACGACATGTGTTGGCGACAATGTATTGACATTGCAGGTATCTTTTTACGGAATTGGCCTCTGGGGGTGATTTATTGTCGTACATCAATCAGCATGACTCAATTCCAGAGTTTGACACGCGCATTATCGTGAGACAGATAACTCGAGCCCTCCATTGGCTGCACCAACGCAACATTCTTCACAGAGATCTAAAGCCGGAGAACGTACTTTTCGCATGCTCGCCTAAGATTGCCTACCAAAGAGTCATGCTATCTGATTTTGGTTCCTGCGCACTAGCTCTCAGTAATAAACTGAAAACCAATGTCGGAACGCAAAACTTTCAAGCACCGTAAGCCAGCACTACGCCACTCACAGCCCACACTGACTCTTGGGCACACAGCGAGGTCATCAAAGGCGAGAAGCAGACCACCGCTGCTGACATTTGGTCGCTTGGCATAATCTCCTTGCTGCTAGTTTCCGGCTGCGGACTTGATGGGATCGATGGTTTAGTACGGCTGGACCAGAGCGCTCTTCGGATTATTCTACACGATCTGCTTAGCCACTGCCCAAAAGCGTCCGTCAATGCAAAGAGCTTTGTCCTGAGTTGCATGAAGACCAAGGCAAGCGATAGAATCACCTCTGTGGGCGCTAACTGCCACGACTGGTTCCACACGCCAACGAAGCACCTAGAATTCTTCCAGCAGCTCGATGCCAGAATGGCCGCCCTGTAGGACGAGGGCGAGCGGCCGCTGCCCACGCAGTTGCCGGATGTTCTGGAGCAGAGCCAGCCACGTCGCCTCTCCGACACCGTCGACTTTCAGCAGCTAGCAATTGCGCAGTACGTGCAGATGGGTAGGGCCAAGGTCGCGCAGGACTCGTCGGTCATGCCCAACAATAACAGGCAGCGAGTAGTCAAGGTTCGGCGTCAAGCTCAACAATCCTCGAATCACGCCAACAAGCCTCCCAAAGGCCGCGTCCATGATGGCCGTGTGGAAATCCTGCAAAAGCTGAAGAGTACGAATACAAGGTTTTTGAAGGACTGATCCGCAACGGCATGGACCGAAGACAAATCATCGCAACGAGACCTGCCATACCTCCCGGTCGTAGCTTTATTTGAGTCACGCATTGAGTAGCTGTAATTGATCTATGCGTATCCCAATCTCAGCACGTTGCTCGCTCGCTCATCTCCATCCTTCCGCGCAAACTCTATCGGGACCAACGTTGAATGCGTCGCGTCATGTGCAGCATCACTGATGAGCGGCTTCAGAAGCTCCCTGACCTGCTCCAGCTGCTCCTTTGCACCCTCGTGCAATTCGAGTCGCTGCACGTCCTCCAGCGCCGTCTTACGTTCCGTCTCTGTCAAGCGCCGTTCCCGCTCCCTCTCGACGGCCGCTGCAATCTTTGGCGCCTCACCCCCAGCCCTCTCCCACCCGTAGGCGACGAGATTGCCTCTGCGCACCACAACGACCTGGTCCGCCGCGCCCGAACTCTCCAGGTAACGCGCCGCGTGCAGCAGGCCCGCGTACGAGTCGTCGTGGACCTTGACAGGCGTCAGCCGCACGGGTAGGCCGCGCGATTGCGCCTCGGGCTTTTTCTCGTAGAAGCGCGCCAGGATGCCGAGACGCGACAGCGCCGCAGGAACGGCCAGCACCACCACCTCGACGCGGTACTGCGCTGCGCGGAACTGCGCCGCGAGGGCGCAAAAGTCTTCCGGGTGGCGGCACGCGCTCTCGAGCACGACGGCGACACCGCGCCGCGCGGCCTCGCCCACCGCGAGCGCTAGCCAGCGGCGCGCGTCCGGGCCTGTCGCGGGAGAGGCGTGCTGCGGCGCCGACGACTGCATCAGCGGCGTGTACTGCGGGTGGTACGTCTTGTACGTGTCCGCAATGAGATGCACTGGCTTGCCTGGAGAGAGGGCGTGCAGAATGGCAGGCGCGAGGAGCGTCTTGCCGGCGCCGGTCTGGCCGACGGCGAGGACGGCGAGCGGCTGCTGGCGGGTAGAGGAGGGTGAGGGGGGAGGGGGAGGCGGGGAACTCGGCGGGGAGGATCTGCTCTTGGAAGATGCGCTGGGACTCGGCGTCGCTGAGGCGATACGAGGATAGATCTGGAGGAGGCGGCATGCTGATTTTGTTTTGGGGGTGGGCTGGTGTGATGGAGATGATGAGTGATGGTGAATGCGGCGTGCAAGTAATGGCGATGTATGTGTGTGTGGGTGGGAGGAAGGGAGGGGGGGTGTTAGTACGAGGACGCCGGATCGAGAGGGTACTTTATTAAACTCGTAAAGTAGTGCACATGTACTGATTGAATCATAGAAATTGAAAGAAATGAGACATTCGCTTTGGTATCTCCCAATGACGAAGTCTTATTCACGCATGCAAAAAGTTCCTTCTCGTTTCTCATTTAGCTTGGCAATTGCCACATTCGGATAGCTTGTCAAGTTCAGGTCAAAAGCTAATTGTAAACATCTTCAACCAACCTCCCGGGCTCAGATGGCGCGATGAGCCGTATTCTTGAATTAGGATTCCTTCATTAATTCCTTTTTTCTTTTTCTTTTTCTTTTTCACCGAAAAATCTGGAAAAGCCCAGGAAGAACGTGCAACATGTTATGACAAAACCCCCCCAAAGCTTCGCTCTTCTGTGATTCAAGTTCCATCTGCCAAGTATATGCATGTTCTGGTTTGACGCAGCACCAACACTCCCTTATTGGGGGGCCGGCGACTGACATCGAGGCCTGTCATGCTACCCTCGAGATCCAAGCTACCCATCGCTTCCAACATCTCTTCACTCCCAACCACTTCCATCATTCTCAGCCCTACTCCTTCTTGATTCCCCTTCATCGGCAACGCAAACCTCCACTCCTCCACCTCTCTCATCACCGACCCATCACCTTCGTCCCCTCCTTTGCCTCTCTCATCGTCCTCCTGCTGCTCACACCTCTTCCCCATCCTCCTACACCTCTCACACCTCTCCTCCCTCCTCGGCGGCGATGAGCCCGGCGGTGCGCATCTCGGCGAGCCGTAGCCGTTTGCACGATGAAGAGCAGGTCCATGGCCATAGTGGTTGGAGGTTGCGTGTCGGAGTGGAAGCCAAGGCGCTGCGGACCTTCTCAGAACAGATTCTATCCATCATTGCCAATTTGTATCATGCCTAGTCTCTATTTAGACAAGTTTTCACAATAATGAGGCACTGACAAGGTTAGTGTATTTCATTCATCTGTGTATTCATACTCTTCAAAGAAAGAGACTTGGGTAAGAAGTTTCTTCTCATCCGACAATGTAGCTAATTTATAAAAACACAATCTGGGTAGAAAGAATGTCAAAAGAAATCGACAACAACAAAGAAATAAACGCCCCATCGCAAGAACAATGCTTTGCCAGATTTCTTTCAGGAGAATGAAACAAGAGACAACAAAAACAGCAGCTTCAAGATCCCAAAACGCCAAACTAGTGAGTGAATCACGCCTCGCGAGAGCAGCTAAAATAAGTAAAAAGGGCAATCGTCCGTCTCCGGGCTAAGGAGCAAATCCCCAGCGGCAATATCAAAGTTCGTATAAAAACGCCATATAGTATTATACCCTTGTCGGCAAGAAAGTACTCAAGAATGGCAACCAAGCTGCGAAGCTCGGCTGCGCGTGTATATGCAATTGGAAACACCAATGTTTTCGATTGGCTTTCTGTAAATCTTTTTTTTTATTTTTTGTGAATGTGAAGCATCCGCATTCACGTTGAGCCATAGGACGGCACACTCCGGGGAGTCACGTCCCCGCTGAGTCGTCGCATGGCAGAGACGTGCTTCGCCTGGTTATTTGCTTCGGCAATCATCTGCTGCTTCTTGCGCACCATGTTCAGTCGTCCTGTAATCATTGTAATCATTTTTCGTACATGGGCCGCTTCCTCAGTGTCCAAGTCACTGCCTTCTTGGGTAGCGTCTTTGGCTATCTCCTTGCCAGAGGATATGTTGCGAGCCGTAGCTTCATCGTCACTGTCCAAGACTGCTTCCAACATGCGAATGGCAGTGAGGTACGAGATCTCGCAACCGGGCAAGTTTTCGTTTGTCACTTCGTCAATGGCAGCGGCGCGGCTCATTTCGAGAGCTCGGTCGTACATGAGCTTTTCAGCGCTGATACCTGGAGTAAGGTATACCTGCTTTGCTCCCACGGCAGATGATGCAATCGAGTCCTCGCCTTGGTGGGCAGGATTGCTGGGATGATCCTCCGGAAGCAGCTTTTGTGCTTCGGTAAGCTTCAAGCGTACAACCTCGGACTTTTCCAGGACTTCGTTGAACCGTTGACGAACCCACTGAACGACGGCATTGATACGTTGCACAAGGGTCTGAGAGACAACGGATGATTCAGCGCGGGTTTTCTTAGACCACCATAGACTGGCAATATCCATAGCACGTGCAAGAAGTGTCAAAGACTTGACATAGAGAACGAGGGCTTCCTCAGAGAGAGCCACAGTGGCATCAACTGTGAGACCATCCTCTTCGCTGGTGCCCTTATCAGGGCTGACGCCGCCAAGACCATAGTCCATAGATGGAGCCATTGGTAGCAGTTGTTTGTACTTGACTTCAGCAAATCCGTACACACAGTCACTCCTAGTCGCAAATTCCTCGATAGCCTGCGCGGCCTTGGCATCCTCATCAGACACCTGAGAGCCCTTGCCGTCACTTAGAAGCCCAGCTGATGTCGGGGTCGGGTATGCAGGAAAAGGCTGGTAAAGAGGCGGCGACGAGCCCTTTTGACGCATTGTGTTCACTTTGTATCCGAATAGACGAAGGCTGGCGTCTTGAATAGCCTTGGAGATGGCGCTCGAGGCGGATCCGGGACTAGCAGAAAGCGCCTTTTCGTAGGACGAACGACGATCTTGGCCTGCGCGTCCTTGGGCCACGAGGGCTGTTCGTGAGGCAGGTGTTGGAATGGCGCCCGTGGTGGATGTAGCTGAGCCTTGTTGAGTGTACCTCCTCTGCAGTGGACTCGATTTTGCCGAAGAGTTGTTTTGTCCCAGCTTCTCATTCGCAGCCAATTCATCGGCCAGAGCGTTAACCTCGACGTGTCGACGTTCAACGACAACGTAATCTCGTTCGAACATGACGTCTTGGGCGGCCTTTTCCTCCTCTGTGAGGGACACATCCGATGGCTGTCGCGCTACACGCAGGGACGAAGGCTGCGGCTCGCGTCCACTCCGATCGGCTGCTCTGGGATGATTAGGCGCGGTATGTGACTGAATCGGCGGTGCGGGCCTTTGGATGCCAAGACCCTGCCCGCTATTGTGTGATGAAATGCTTAGACGGCGCTCTGCATTCTGGCTTTGCCGTCTCGGGGCTGCGTCAGCGGAGCTGTTTACAGTAGATGAACGCGGCGAGCTGCGGGGAGACTTTGGTGATGAGCGTGTGTCCCTAGGGTCGCTGCTCAGCTGCCTAGCCATTTGCACGCGGGGCGATGAGGGCAAAGCCTCTCCTTGGCGGATAGTCTCTAGTTCCCGCTTGGGTGGTTTTGGAATGTCATCCTCGACTAATCCAAGAATATCGCCAGTAACCACATGGTGGGCAAAGAAATTTTCGAAACTCAAGCGCTCGACGGGGCTTCGCTTCAACAGAGAGCGAACAAGAGCCTTGAGATCAGGGGTGACGCTGACTTCTCTAGGAAATTTGATGACATCCTCTGCAGCTTCTATCTTGCGGAGCAGTTCAACATGATTCCTAGCTCGGAAGGGCGGACGTCCGGTAATCATCTCATACAACACAGTGCCAACAGACCATAAGTCGGCCTTGGCGTCGTAGCGTTCGTAGCGAAGAATTTCTGGGGCCATGTATAGCGGCGAGCCACAGAGAGTATCGGCAAGAGAGGTTGATGGCAAAACTCGCGCAAAGCCAAAATCGGCAAGCTTCAGCATGGGTAGAGAGGCGAGGCCTGAAATGGGAATGAGAGAATCTTGGCTGGCCTCCATGATGGGCAACGCCCGTTCCTCTCTGAATGCTTGAGACGGCAACAAGAGGAGATTCTGGGGTTTAACATCTCGATGAACGTAGTTTTTGGCACGAAGGAACTCGAGTGCACTGGAAAGCTGCTTGAGGAAGTGGCGGATGACGACTTCGTGCAAGCCGGAGTTTGGAGCGGAAGGGTACTTGCGGGCCATGTCGTGGGTAGCAGGGTGCGTAATGAGCTTGTCTCTCTTCTTGATAAAAAGGGACAAATCACCAAGTTCGCAGTATTCCATGATGAGGTTGATATGTGTAGAAGATTCGACGCAGTCGTGGAGGGCGACGATGTGCGGGTGTCGGAGAGTCTTGAGAATCTGGATCTCTCCGTATAGATTCTCCTTGAGCTTCTTGTTGAGACGCTCCAGCTCGACGGATTTGATGGCGACAGCGGCTTTGGACTCCTAGTGTTGTCAGTGAACAATTTCAGCTACCAGGCGCAACGGCCGGATGCCTACCTTGTGCCACCCCATGTAGACCTGAGCAAAACTGCCTTTACCGATTTCCCTGTCGATGATGAAGCTGCCGACATGGCGGCTGCTCCTCCGAGAGCCGTGGGACGAGGCCCCTTCCTGTCGGCTAGTCATGACGTCCTGTGAAGCTTATCGAGACAGGAAGAAAGGAATGCCTCGAGGATAGCCGCTAGAGGGCCTATACTATTCGAAAGACGTCGACGGCGGTCAAGATAGTCATGTAAGCTCTGCAAAAAGCCGTTGTGTAACAAGGAAGATGATTGTCGAGGTCAGATAGACGGACGGGAGCGGAGTCGGGGCCAGGCAACAAGGTCGAGCAGTGTGCGGAGGGTCTAGATGGATCGAAAGATGTGGGTAGCCAGAGGGGAGTTCATCGGCGGGAGTATGTTGGGTCGGATAAGTTGGGCTGGCTGTTGTACTGTGCGGATTTGGTCGAGTTAGCTGGAGTGCAGGGTCCAAGGCAAGTAGCCAGTCAAAAAGGTGCGATGAAAGAGGCACTGAGGTATGCATGCATGCCGGAGGGTGTGACGAGACAGGGAAGCCGCAGCTACGGACCAGGAAACGGGAACGGGCGTGAAGGCAGAAACCTGGGGCGAGGGATGCGAGGCGACCGAGATGCGCAAGGCAGCGACAGGAGGAGAGCCACGCCCGACTGCAGAGACGCAGAGTCGAGGCGCGCAGTGTTGAGATGCAAGGATGCCTGGTGAGGTGACAAGTGCCGGCGAGCTAGCGGCGATGCGCAGCTTGGGCGGTAAGTACTGACACGGCGCGCGAGGACTCGGAGGCTCGTCGGAAAGCGGGCTGGGATGTTGATGAAAAGGTAAAAAGAGGCAGCGCTAATCAGCGCAAAGGGATAAACATAAACAAGACTAGGCAGATGACACAGCGCGGCGGGCGAGCCTCGAAGAAGAATGGACGAGGCGAGGCGAGTGGCGCGCGAGGGTCGGGAATAGGTAGTAGCAAAGGCAACTAAGGGACCGACTACCTATAATCGGCGCGAGATGGAAGAGAGGCGCGTGGTGCGCAGCATAGGGCGCCACCGTCAGTGTGGAAGACTTACCCTGATGGTTTGTAGCTAGGACGGGGGTTGGGCGTGAATGGTGAACTAGGGCGGAAGGAAGCTGTCGAGAGGAAGAAAGAATACAATCGTCGAGAGATGAAGTTGCACCGGGAAGAGAGACAGACGATGGGCGGCGTTCGTTGTACGGGCTACGGCTGGCTGAAAGGGTGTGACTGTGCCGACAGCGCAAACAAGAGGCAAGACAGGCGGGCGATGGCGGAGCTGGCGGAGGCGACGCAGGGCCAAAACGAGGACGGCAAGGCGTCACCGACAAGGCAAGTTGCCGAATCGAGACGCGGCGCTAAAGTAGTGAAGGGGAGCGAGTGGTGGTAGTTGATTTGGTGGTGTGGGTGACGAGGACCATGTATGGATATGTTGAGTGTGCCAGGTAAGGTGGTCGAGTGGGTAGTGCGCGCGTGGTAGTTAGATTGACGTGTAGGTAGCTGTTTGTTTGCGGGAGAAGTAGACGCAAGTCGAGAAAAGGAAGGTGGGACAAGGCTGAGATTGGTGGAATAGAGATGAAGAGACGAGAATGAGGCGAATGTTGGTTGTGGAAAAAGGGAAGATGGACAAGGTGGAAGACGTGATGACAAACAGCTGCCAGTTTATCACAGTGGCTGAGGTATACTTGACTGTTATGGCAGATGGGATACATGTCAGTCAGCAAGCACAGCAGACGATGATACAAAACAGGCGAACCCATGGCACCAAAACAAGCCAACCTGATGGGTACACATGGTACTAGTAATACCGTCGATTTTCTCTAGTGCATTACTTTTCCTGACACGAGCGGGCGGGCACTGGGTCCGTCACGACACATTTGTAACGAGCTCGTGATGCCGTCGTTTTGGGGGTCGGGGGGGTGACTTGTTGTTGGCGCCATTTTTCTGTAGGTACATTTTCCCGCTCCAAAGTACAGTAGTTGTGGAGAGAAGGAAGGGGGGGGGGGTGGCCATGCTTCTCCAACTGCAACCGGGCAAGTAGCTTGCATGTATCTGGCCATTGGATCACTCAGTCACAGCAGCACGCAATGTGGATGCCTGGGTCCTTTTTGGTGCTCGGCCACACGTGAGAGCACTGGGGGGCGGCACCACGTCGCCCCGCGTGTGGCAATGGCGAACCCTGAAAAAGATACCTGGCCGTTACATGTCGCAGCTGCAAGGACCAAAATGCCCGGCCGCCACCGTCAAGCTTAGTTATATTCTTTCAGAAGATGGCTGGTGGCGTCACTGAAAACAATAATCCGTACACTGCGTTTAGTTATCTATTAGGTACTGCACTTTTCAATAGTTAATTTAGGCACCTTATCACAGAGAATTTCGGCAGTCGTGGCACTGCAAGGCTGCCAAAAGCTTTGGCCTAATAATAAACAAGCATCAAAGACTCAAAGAAGCGATAAGCCAAGCGCATCAGTCCGATGGCGCACTGCTATCTCATCTCTTCTTATCCATCGACAATGGCACGAACCCCTAATCTATCAGAACCTAGCCCGCTCCGTTATCGCCTCATCATCAACATACATACATGTCAAGATGGGCGTAGTCTATTCTTATCTTGTCTGATTTCCCCAGGCCAGCATTAACAGAATGAGAAGCAGGGGTCTCCCTCCCCCCTCACTCTCGTGAATCTTTTGTTACGAGGCGTACTGGTGTACATGCAGTCAATGTGATTACAGTGACTTTTGGCTCTTGTCTTCTCTCTTAGCCTCCCTCCCAACGAAGCCCACGATGCCGTTCCGCGCCACCCTTTGCAGTGCATAGCGCCCATGCGCCCTCCAGCCAACCAAGTCGCCGCCTCATCCACCATGGATGGGGGCTTGGCTCATGACATCCCCCTAGGTACCGAGCTTGCGAATTAGGTACTGGCAAACACGTCGCCACGTTTGGTCCTGCTGCGCCGCCAGCATGGCTAGGCTGGGCATCTCTGGGAACCGGCATCACTCTCCATCCTCTCTGTGCACTGTCCTGTCTGTCCTGGTGCAAGCCACTGCTCTCCACCCCAACGTTAACACCTCTTCAAGTCCACATAAACCCCTAAGATGACGCAGGTTGTATGACTCCGCAGACAGCCATATATCCAAGCGCCCGTCAAGTTTGACTATTGAATTACAACACCGGATACGTGCAGAGATACTTGGCTGGCTATATGAACAATGTAATGTGCCTGATAACTACCCAGTTTTCTCATCTACCGGAAGCCTTCCCCGCGAATCTTGTCACACACAACGAACCCCAGGCTTTGCTGCTTCGCCTCGCAGATGCAATATGGGACAAAAAAAGGAAACATGCTTAAAGTACTCCGTAGATCAAACAAAATCTAAAAACTGTTCAGCATGTGTAGCATCCTTCTCTTCCCGGTCAACGTCACCTTCTGCTGTTCGCCATGCCAACTTCTGCCCTTGTCTTACGCCAGAGTACATTTTCGCTGCGTCTACCTGCAAGCCTCTGTCTGCCACATCAGAAAAAATCAAAGAACAATATCAAAATAAAGACAAAGTCTCATTTCCCCAGATGCACCCTGTTTGTCCAACGACGACCCCCGGTTCTTCCCTGTCCTCTGCTTCTCCATACGGTGGTTTGGCAAGGCAGCCCCCGTACCGGAGCGCATGCAGGATGCAAGCCAAGGGGTCCTCGTGGCGCTGCCCTTTCCCTTTCCCCGTATTTTACAACAAAACATCCATTCAATCATTCTCGGCAGCATATCCTCGACGCAGTCGTGTCACTCTCGTCCTTTTCGATTTTTCTTTGGTGTGTGCATGTGTGTCCCTTCTGCAGCCACTTGCTGCCCGCTCGCCGTCCCGACAGGCTCGTCTGTTGCGCCTCGTCTGTTGCGCCTCGGTGCCGTATGACCAGACACACACACCCCCGCCATCTCTCACATCTGATAGAACAATGTGCCACACCACGCAGCTGGGCGCTGCATACTCCGTACTTTGTTCGTACTTTATTAAGACACCGTGCTGGCAAGCTGCAAGCACCAGCTGGCAGACTGTTTCGTACTTTGAAAGACTATTGGGCACATTCAGGACCGCTCGGCCGCTAGGTAGCTGTCTGCATTCTTGCTGTCTGCATTGCCGTCATGCTTATCGGGCTTGTAAAGCACCCGCCATCGGCGACCACTTGAGCGTCCTTTGTTCTTCTTCCTCTCCATCTTACTTTATCTCCCTGAATGGTACTCATCATCACACGTGATTACTCACATATTAGTCTGACCGCCCTGCTTCCATCATCCTGGCCATCTGCCTGCTAGTCATGTCTTTGCAGCAACTACATCTAAGCGGCTGCTATTCTAAGCTGCCGAAGTCGGACACCCTCCACCTGCACCAATGTAACGCAATCTCAGACATTGGCATGCGCCCAATCTAGATGCTTTGCTGACCACCTCAACCATCCCATGATAAGTTGTAAACATGCACTTGCCCGAGACTAAGAATATCAATAAATCAATTCGCCAAACTCAATTCCCATGTTCCTATGCTGCCTCATGACGGTCATGGCAATCCTTGGGGTATCTTGTGGTAAGACTCAAATCACATAAAAACGTCGCTCTGTCGTTTCAATTCCCGGGACCTCGCGCTCATTATGCAGCCCAATCCACCGACGGTATTGCCCGTCTTGATTTTCTCTCCTCTTCGCTTATTCAGAATTCGTCTCGTGCATCGTCGTTCATTCTATCGGTCGCGTAGTATTCGTTTAGTGATCAGCCTTCGGAGCATTGGGAAGCTCCTCGAGAGCCTCAGCAATGATGCTGACGCCCTTGCGTAGCTCTTCCTCCGTGATGACCATCGGGGGAGCAAAGCGAATGATGTCGCCGTGTGTGGGCTTGGCCTGTGCGTGTGTTAGTACCGCGTCATAATCGTAATTGAACAAGTACAACGTACCAGCAGGCCTTTTTCCTTGAGTAACATGCACAGATCCCAAGCAGAGCGGCCATTAGTGGCAGACTCGTCAATCACGCAAGCATTGAGAAGACCCTTGCCGCGGACCGTCTTGAGAATGGGTGACTTGAGGTCAATGAGACCCTGGCGGAAGATCTCACCCAGGCGCTGAGCATTCTCAATCATGTTCTCCTCTTCAATCAGCTCCAAGGCGCGAATCGATACGGCACAGCCAAGAGGGTTGCCACCGTAGGTGGAGCCGTGAGTGCCGGGCTCGACGACCATCATGACCTCCTTGCTGGCGAGGACGGCACTGACAGGATACATGCCACCTGAGATGGCCTTGCCGAGGGTGACCATGTCGGGCTTGACACCAGCCCACTCGGAGCAAAGCATCTTACCGGTGCGGCCAATACCAGTCTGGATTTCGTCGGCAATGAGAAGCACATTGTGCTTGGTGCAGAGCGCTTGCACCTTGGCCAGGTAGTCCTCGTCGGGAACCATGACGCCCGCCTCGCCTTGAATGGGCTCAATAATGAAGGCAGCAGTGTCTTTGCCGTGGTCATTGAGAACCTCTTCAATGTCGGCAACATTGTTGTATCGGATGGCCTTGCCGGTGGAGGGAGATGTGGCACCAATATTGGGAATGTAAGGGCCATAGTTGTCCTTGGATTCGGGGTCGGTTGACAAAGTAACGGCAGCCATCTATATACGTCAGCGGAAACTCCGAGCCTGTTTCGCGGTCAGGGTCGAACAGAACTTACGGTGCGGCCGTGGAAGTTTTCGGCAACGGCAAAGACGAGAGCCTTGCCCTTATCGACGCCCTTGACCTTGTATGCCCACTTGCGGGCAATCTTGACGGCCGTTTCGGTGGCTTCGGCGCCAGTGTTCATGGGCAGCACCATATCGTAGCCAAAGACTTTGCGGACCTTTTCGGCCCACTTGGGGAAGACGTCGTTGTGGAAAGCGCGCGAACTCAATGTTAGGCGCGAAGCCTGCTCGGTGAGAGCCTTGACAAGCTCAGGATGACAGTGGCCTTGGTTGACGGCGCTGTACGCGGATAGGAAATCCATGTACTCGCGGCCCTCAGGATCCCAAACATTGATACCCTGAGCCTTGGCAAAGACGACAGGGAGAGGGTGGTAGTTGTGGGCAGCGAACTCGTTCTCGGCACCAATGGCAGCCTTAGTGGAGGAGGCGTGGAAGCGAGACTCAGCCATTTTGAAGGTGTAAGATGTGCGATTGATGAGCCTATGATGTAGAAATATACGTGTTAGTATAAGCAGGCAACAAACTTGCGTTATTGTATCCAGGAGGAAAAAGATTGATCTTTTGTACAAAATGTGTCAATTATTGGCCACGCCGGCCACAGATCAAGCAAGCACCAAAGACAACTTTAAAAATTGCCAGTCACGCTGGCCGCATAAGTTTTAGCCAGACCAGCAGCAGCGACCGTCATGGTGGGGGAGGGGCAATGGGTGTGGTGGCACTCAGCACAAAAGCGACGCCAAAATGACGTCGACTAGCAGCAAACGTACCTGTGACTGTTTGTATTGATCTGATCCGAGTTGAGGCTGTCGAGGAGATTCAGACATGCGCAAGCAAAAGAAGTTTGTATGTAGAAAGCTCGAGGGCACGGAGTGGGCGGCAAGCCAAGCAGTAGTTATACCCGTCTGTACCCAACGATTTGCTGGACCACTTGTCGCATGTTTCGCCCTCGTGGGCTGCGTACGAGCTTTGTGCCCGCCGCTATACCCCTAAGTGCAAGTGTGAGCGCCGTGATGTGGATTCCATTGGTTTTTTGTGTTCCAACAGGGAGCCGAAGCCGACATTCGGGTCTGGGCTGGGACCCAGACAACCTTGTTTCCTGGGCTGCATGAATCTGGGTTTCGTGGGCTCTTGGGATCTGACGGCCACGTTGTCGGTCTTTCTATCCCATGTCGACGTCGTTGAATCTCATAGGCATGGACTCGCATCGACAGCGAGTTCCCTTGTTTGGCAATTTTCTCTGGCCTCGTCCCCTGCGTTTGGTTCTAACCGACCATCCTGCTTCACCACTAGGTAGTTAGTCGAACATGTTGCTCCACACACACAGAGCGAGTGCTGCTGAAGTTTTTGACGAGTGTGCCTCTTTTTTTGCCCCCCGGGCACTTGGCAGCTCTCATCGGGTGGCCTGACCAAGCGACAAGCCACCCAATAGCAACAGGCCGAAGCCAACCGGCGCAGTAGGGCGTGGATTCTCGACATGATCATGTCCACGACGGGTCCGCGAGCCTTGTTCTGATCCACCTTTACAGCTTGCCGCCCGCCGCCGACGTATCGAACCGGTGGCCGGGGCCGGGGTGACCGGGGCGGACGGTCAGGCGCCCCTCACGAGACCAGTCCAGAGCCAATTGCCAACGAGGTAATGACAAACGGCTTACGCCTGCATAATTTGGCGTGGGCGGTGATGTAGATGCCTGCGTTCTTCTTTGTCTTGCCTCTGTCGTGCAAGGATGCAGTGAGTGCGCAACGAGGACACCTGATTCTGCTGTAGATTATCAAGGGTCGTCTCAAAACTGCTTCGTAACTCCTCATCGCCGCAATTAGCCGCACAAATCCAAGTCGCACGGAAAGCGACGGTGGAAAACATTTCGCACATAATCTCAAGTTGTAGAGATCAGGTTTTGCCAAGAAACCATGTTGCCGATAAACTTCAGAGTTGCGTTTGCTGCCAGCTGTCATCAGTGTTGCCTCCTCGCCCCCATGCCGCGGTACCAGAGACAAGGCAGCCCGTCTACACGATCCTCGCCATTTAACACTCCATGATTAAAGACATTTATACTCTACAAATACGATATCGATCATCGCGTTGATCGCGTCATGCTTCAACTCGCATCTGCAACGCTCGCCTCTAGCCTCTCTTGGATGAAACTGCGCCCCACCACGCGCGCCCCTTTCCCGTCGATGCAAAGTAACCTTGACAAGATGCTTCAAACACTATTTATCCGCCGACATTGCATCGGGAACCCCCGCATGTGAGACGTACCACGCATATGGTATATTTATATTTTCTCGTGGCTGTCTGATAAAAGGCTTCAATTTTGGACCCATTTTGCAAGACACCCGCCAAGAAGCCGATGCTCCGTGATTGACGGGGCAGCACTTTGGCCTTGGCCAGTCACTTAGACAGCCCGCGCCTTTCTATGCATGCATTGCTTGCATTACATGGCGATTCCAATGATTAGCTCCTAAGATCGACTGCACTACATCCACCACATACCATGGCTCCCGCACGTTCTGTGCGAAAATCTCGCATCTCCTTTACCGATGTCCTCCTCGTCCGCCTCATCAACGCGCTCAGCATCGCCACCTTCTTCCAACCAGATGAGTACTTTCAATCGCTAGAGCCGGCATGGAATCTCGCTTTTGGCGCCTCAAGCGGTTCGTGGCTCACTTGGGTATGCGAGTGTCCTTCGACAAGCTCCGGTTCCTAGACTGACCGTTATCCAGGAATGGCACTATCAACTGCGCTCCTCGCTGCATCCCATGCTCTTTGCAATTCCCTATTTTCTCGTTGATCATGCAGCGCGTCTCCTTGTACAACTCGGTTTTCCCATCGCCTTGCGCTCTAGCATGCTCATTGCAGCGCCGGCGATCCTGCAGGGCTTGATCGCTGCACTGGGTGACTGGTACACTTTCAAGCTCGCTTCCAACATTTATGGCCAAGACACTCTTGATGCCAAGGTAGCAGTAAGTCGAAAGCAATGTAATTATGAAGATTAGAAGCTCACGTTTGTTAGCTCATGCTGCAGCTCGTCAGTCCATGGCAATGGTACTGCGCGTCGCGTACTTTTTCCAATTCACTCGAAGCTGCCCTCACCACCATGGCGCTCAGCTACTGGCCCTGGTCACTTCTTGGCGCCGCTACAGTGACGAAAGAGAACCCAAAAACTGCAGATCCCCTCAATAAGAGAGGTGCCGTCCGCCGTCTCCGCGTCTGTCTGTGTCTGGCCGCGTTGGCCATTGTGCTACGACCGACCAATGTGCTGATATGGATCACAATTGCCGGCCTCACAGTAACGCGCCTGTCCATGCGCGGGCCTTCGGCCCTAAGCATGTCCACCATTGTGGTACTTGTACGCGAGGCAGCTGTATGCGGCTCTTTTGTCCTCGGTCTCTCTTTGCTCGCCGATCGGGCCTACTTTGGCTTCTGGACTTTGCCAGCGCACAACTGGCTCAATTTCAACATTAACAAGTCACTGGCGGTTTTCTATGGTCAGAATCCTTGGCATTACTATATACTGCAAGGCATCCCGCTGCTCTGCACCACGATATTGCCTTTTGTTCTGCCCGTGCTCATTCGACCGCAGACTAACGGCACTGCCGAGCTCGAAAACACGCAACGCACTCTGGCTGCTTCCGTCATCGTTATGGTCACGACGCTGTCTCTCATCTCGCACAAAGAGGTGCGCTTCATCTACCCTCTTCTTTCCATCTTTTCTGTCCTGGCGGCTCCTCGTGTTTCATCATTCTTCACGTCTGCACCCAAACAGGCAGCCGGCAAAGTGACAGCCTCTAAGCGCCAGGTCCGCCACAAGGGGTACCTCATGGCTGGTCTCGCTCTCAATGGCTTACTGTCAGGCTACCTCTCCTACTTTCACCAAGGCGCGCCCATTCAAGTGCTCGCGTTTCTCCGCCGAGACTTTGAGCGCATTCACGCCAACTCGTCCAAGATATTGCAGCCAAATCACAACAAGGAGCTATTTGCCCTTTTTCTGATGCCGTGCCATTCCACACCATGGCGTTCGCACCTTGTGCACCCAGACTTGCACGCGTACGCACTCACGTGTGATCCGCCGTTGCACACCAGCCCCAATACTGTCGAGAGGGATACATACCGCGACGAAGCGGACCGCTTCTATGATGACCCGGTAGGCTTTCTCAGCCGCGAGCTATTTTCGGCCACACCCGGGCCGCCGCCAGCCTCTGTGCCCGGCGGCCGTAGCCCAGAGGCTGTACCGGGTCTGTTGAACCCGCCGCGGTATATTGTCGGATTCGAAGGCGTGGAAAACTCCCTTCAAAAATTTCTCACTACGACGGATGAAGGCAAGACAATGGGTATGAGACTGCGACCTGTATGGAGGGGCTTCAATGGGTTGTTTCATGAGGATTGGCGTCGTGCTGGGAACATTGTGGTCTGGGATACGGGCGTTTTTCACGATGCTCCCAGTGTGGTCTGATGCGCATGACATATTAGTATGCAACTTGAACCGCAGTTGATGATGTGCTACTTGCCATGTGTGCGCGACAGCCCGTCTCAGTGCGTGCCATCTCCCTGTGAACGCCCAATTCAGTGCAGTACCACCCACGACGCCGTGATCAGAATCATCACCACGCCCACGCCGCCAACCACGTAACGGAAACCATCCGCCTCCGTCTGCAGGAAAATGCTCGCTATCGACCATACGGAAAGATAGAGCCAGATGAGGGGGAGCAAATAGATCCAAAGCTTGACTAGACGGCACAAGAAAAACAGGTTTCCAGGTCAGTATTCTATAAACTGAGAAAGAGGGAAAGAAAGATGGATGGCTACAAGTCCGTTTCCTCCCCAGCTGTGCGGAAATCGGGTTGGGTAGGAGATTGTTGCAACTTACATTCTGTGACGTTAATCTCCCTGACAAATTTATCGGGATGGAGGTGCGGCAGCATGGTCATGAAAAGGATGCAAATAAAGAGGACTGCACCCAAGAAGTCTCAAGTTAGCAAATGAACACTTTCTCTGTATCTTGCCTCGTCGACGGGAGGTTGCGTGGTGTGAAACGTACAGGCAATCTTGATCGACCAGCTGGTATATTCCTCTACGCACTCAAAGGACATGGTGATCAAAATCAACTCGTTGCAGAGTCTTGTATTTAAGAATCCAAAAGTAAAGTAAAAAGAACTATGTATCGTCGAGAGAAGACGAAAATGAAATGTGTGGTTGTGTTTGAACCAGTCGACAGAAACTTCATCAGGAGCAATGTTTAGGTACATGGTTGTTATTTTACATTCATATTCTATCATTATATACTCATCGCTTTTGATTCTATAAACTTTTTGCCATCATCAGAGTTTTGAAGTCTTAATTTTATGGCTGCAGGATGGCGCAAAAGAGGCATCAGCCATGAAAGTCTTGGTATAAGCCATCGGCCCGTATGCGTGTTCGAATATCAAGTGGATCTCGCTGGGTGCTAGGGCCGCGCGCTGTTATCTTGCCCCAGATCTTCCTTACCCCAGCGCCCCCTATCGCAGTTCGCCAGAGCAAATGAAGCGACTTCAATTTGTAAATCCATCACTGCCATAGTTGCAAGTATAACATCTTTGTGATTTTTTTTGTATTGTGGCAAGTTTGTCGGAATGCATGTTCTTTATATATGACAAAAGGAAAAACAAGACGAGACTCCTTATTCGAGTGCCCACACCCCCCAGTTTTCCCGTTTAAAATACAGAATTGTTTAACAAAAAAAATCCCCTCGCTCTCTGAAATAGCAATTATGGGGATGACAGTATTGCCACCTCACAGCGTCGTCCTTTGCCCTTCCGTCGCCGATCAAGGTACCCCTTGATTACGCGCCGAGAGCCATTTGCTTCTTAATCTCGGCAATTGCCTTGCCGGGGTTGAGACCCTTGGGGCAGGCCTTTGTGCAGTTGAGAATAGTGTGGCATCGGTACAGACTCATGTTATTCTCGAGGTTGGCCTGGCGCTCGGCCTTGCGCTCGTCGCGCGAGTCGGCGAGCCAGCGGTACGACTGGAGAAGAATGGCAGGGCCCAGGTACTCCTCCGAGTTCCACCAGTATGAAGGGCACGACGTCGAGCAGCAGGCGCAGAGAATGCACTCGTACAGACCGTCCAGCTTCTTGCGGTCCTCCTTGCTCTGGCGGTACTCCTTGCCCTGTATCACACGTTAGCGAGGTTCAATTTCCACCAAGTAATGGCTGCCGAGAAGATAAAAAACGTACGTCGGGGGCGGGAGTGTCGCGCTGCAGATAAGGCTTGATCGACTTGTATTGCTTGTAGAAGTGCGTCAGGTCAGGAACAAGGTCCTTGACGACGTAGGTGTGAGGAAGAGGGTAAATCTTGACGTCGGCAGACGATTCAGCGGGGATTCGGCCTATCATCAAGGGTTAGAAACCATTCCACTCAATTTCGCTATCCACTGGCTTGAGCAGCGCCGTTGTCGCTCAAGCCGTCATTTTCAGCACGTATTGGGATGGGCGTTCATACACAGGCAGGCCAAGGTGTTTTGACCGTTGATGTTCATGGCGCAGGAGCCGCAGATACCCTCGCGACAACTTCTGCGAAACGTCAGGGTGGGGTCGAGCTCGTTCTTGATGCGAATGATGGCGTCGAGCATCATAGGGCCCGTCTTGTTGAGGTCAATGGTGTAGCTCTGTAGACGCGGCTTCTCGGTAGGTGTGTCGGGGTTCCAGCGGTAAATCTGGAATGTCTTCATGCGAGGTTTCTGCTCCTCGACCTCGCTGACAGAGGCCATGGAACGTGAAAAGGCAACGCTGGGACGGAGGGCCGCTGTCCTAGCCGTGCCGAGGACTCGCGTCGAGTGGCGGAGAGCTGCCATCTTGTGTGTTTTTTTATTAGGCGGATGAGATGAAGATGTGAAGAAGTAGACACGAGGAGATCGGCTACGATGATTGCGACCAGCCAAGTTGGTAGAGCATGTACAGAGAGGTTGAATTGGCCTTCAGCGCGGTGGGTATGATGTCTCGTCGGGAAAGTTACTTCTATGACGGCGGGAGGTTGTGAGAAGATGGATTGCTGGCTTCCCTCGGCTATTACGCCCCCAGGCTTGTGCTATTTGACTGCTCTGACCAATCAACGGACGCTTATTGTAAATTTGGGCCTCCGCAAAACTCAGTCACGTGCACCGAAGAAAGTCGCCATTCGGATGTACTCGGGTGCTATAGTAGCCGGAAAAGTATTGATCCGATCAAGAAGCCGGTCTAAGAAGCCGGTGAGAAGCCGGGCATAATCTAGTGACCGCGATCCCGCAAGGAAACTCTCCAGTAGAATTCGGTCTTTTGTTAGCTAGCAAGGGACGGGTACTAGAATTACTTAATCACGTTTAGAGATAAAATCGAGAAGAAGTCGATAAAAGATGGGTGTTGTGTTTCCTGTACTCCCGGCCTCGCCTCAGACGAGGAAAAAGAACCAGTCTGCACTGTCAATCAATGGCCTCTATCCCTATCTGGTCACCGTCCATCAAAAACCAAGATTCATCGAGATCAGACATATATTTCCAGCAGAGACCTCCATATAAAAAAAAGGAACCCATGAAGCAACAGTCCAGCCTTCTGTCTGTCCTGCCTCTTTTTAATAACTTTCCACCCAATAAGTTCAAAAAATCAACACCGAAATCATGAAGATCACTTTTTCATTCGCCAGCCCCAGGCATACACTTTCATTAATCGCAGACCATTCTCCCAGTGTGTCTCTTTTCCCTAGATCCAGTCGGGCGCTGGGCTTCGCCACTTCGAAGCCTACGCGCAAGCAAATGTCGAAAAAAAAGACGAAGCATTATGAGTAGCCAAATCGATCGAGTCGCTCAGAGTAAAGGAATAGTGATGATTGGAAAGTAAGACAATAGACAAAGGCTCGTATCTGGAGGCGTAACAAGCATCTGCAAAACCAAAAAAAAAAGATACATTTAACTAGCCAAGAGGTGTGACGGCGTGCCTTGCATACGAGGCATTTGACACCGTGGCATCTCTTTGGCTGGGTATAATCGTTCGTTATATCATCACCTATTGACCAAGTAGCCGTTCGACTCGGAAGCATAAAATTTTACTCTGTTTTATTTGTTGCTTCGACGGAAACAGAAGCCGCATCTTCGATTGCGGCTCCTGGCGACTGAGGATGCTGGAGCTCAGCGGCCTTGGGTGAGGCGGCCTTGGTTTCGTTTTCAACAAGAGGTTCTGATTGCGCAGCGGGAGTAGGCTCGGCGACAAGTAGCTGCTCCTCGACTGGAACCATCCGAGGCTCCTTGGAAGCCAAAGACGTAGCTGGAACTTCAGCTGACTTGGCCAGATTTACACCTGCAGCAGCTTCTGCGGCAGGCTCTTCCTTGATAGTATCGACGGGTTGGTGAGCTTGCTCATTAGCAGTATGAGCGGGGGACTCGGGGGCTGCGTTCGGGACAGGTATGGCAACGGCGGCGGCGGGATGCTCAGCGGCCGGGGCTTCCCCCTTCTTGGGCGGCGTCTCCGACTGGGGGGGTTCGCCTGCCGATTCGTCGCGCTTAATGTCAAGGCTCTTCCCGCGACCTAGGATAGCCGCGCTGATGCCGTGACGCTCACCCACTGCCGGCGGAGGTGACTTGTTACGCTTGTGGTCAGCATTTTCTTTGGCCTCGCGGTATTTATTCTTGATCCAGCCGATGGGACCCTTGGCGTCGCCATCTTTGCTGTCGTACGACTCGGCAAAGGCAGCTTCTGAACCGTCCGCCTGAAAACTCTTGCGCGCTTTGCTTGAGCTGGCGAAAGAGGTTGTGCTCATCTCCGCATTTTGATAGAGTCCTAAGTTCGGCTGAGGGAAGCCTTCACCGTTGCTATCATCCTTTTTCGTGCCTAGCGATAGCCACCTTTTCTTCCTGTCTCTTCCCGGACTCTGAAGAATCCCCGCTGCACGATCGTCTGCGGCGTGGTCGGGATCTGAGAGACCATTTGCGGAATCAACAGGCGATGCTGTCGATTCAGTAACAGCGTTGTCGGTTGGCTTCGGCTCGGTTGGCCAAAGTGTCGGAACGGTACTTATTGTGGGTTGCACTGGCTGGACAGCTGGCGATGAAGTGGCTTCAATCTTTTCGGTAGCGCTTGGCGTCGCGACTGATTCAGGCAAGGGTGGTACGTTGTCAAGAGGGTTAGACAGCTCGGTATTGGGCGACGCAACGTTGGAGTGAGGAAGAGAGTTGCTCGAGCTGTGAGCGCTCAGGTTCACTGCGCCGGGCGCTCTTTTTTTGCGCAGCTTATTGGGCTGTCGCTTGTCACCTCCTTCCGTAGACGTCCTTTGGAATAGGCTTGATACACTGCGTTCCTTGGTGTCCTTGACCGGCGGAGGAACATCGGGTGAGTTCTCCAGAAGGCGGTCTTGGCTATTTCCCGGCAAAGTCTTATTGGTAGAATCGCGCGTAGCGATAGGCGTAGAGGGTCCAGATGCCATGGGTGCCTCTGAAAGTCGCACTGGGGTCAGTGGCTGAACGGAGCCAGCAGAGTCTTTATCAACTTTGGCGAATTTTCTGCCGCTGACAGCAGGGGACTTCTTGGATGGGACGGTGTTGCTCCTACTAAGACCGCCCGAAGGAGAGGTGGCGGCGGCTGCTGGGGTAACGGGCGTGGCGGAATCTCCATTTTTGGAGTTCTTGGATGAAACAGAGCGATTTCGTCGAAGCTTTCCATCTCGCCGCACGCTTTCAGCGCCAGCGCTGGCGTTGGACGCAGTGCGATTCATTTGTGTGGGTGTTACTGTGCTGGGGGTAAGCGGTCCTTTGGGCGTACCAGACTGTACTTCTTTGACGGTATTTTCGTCAGCAGCGGTGCCTTGCATGCCGATTAAGAAGTGATCCTGGTTCTCGATGAGGAAGATGATGACGCATTGGTTGAGTCGATACTCCTCTGGAGCCATGGCATGCTGGGGGTGCGACAGCATACCAGGCTGGAAAATGGCAGCCAGATTTTGTGAGGTCATGCGATTTTCTTCCGACTTGGCAGCAAAGACTGCTAGCAAATCGAGAATGTAAAGAAGAAGCTGACGGTTAAGTGGAGGAAGCTCAGTAATGAGACGTTGATATGTGGCGATGGCAGCTTTTTCGTCGAAATCGGGAACGAACTGGGGACCTTCGGCGTCGCCGGCGACTTGCTTGGTTGCGCCGCGTAGTGGATCGCGGAACCTTTCGTACAAGTCTAAAGGAACAACAGGCTCGGGCAAGTCGTTGAGGTATCGACGGAGAACATTGGCTGCGTCATGCACTGTATAGCCATCCCAGACAAGACCCTTGCCGTATCGATTAGGAGAGTCGAAGATGCTCTTGAGCTCTTTTATGCGCTTTTCGGAGCCGCTGAGGCGGAAGATGCCCTCGACGCCAGTGGCTAGAGGCAACATATTAGCAAACTCAAGGGCGAGAGAGCGGGACATGGCGAAACGCACCCTTTTCTTTCAGGAAGACGCCACATTTGGCGACGACAATGGGGACATAGCCATAAATGTAACTCTGGCCATTCTCGTCGATGAGAGAGATGGCAACGTTGGCGTAGGTTATACTTTGTCGCAGCGGTACACCAAAGATGCCTGGGGCTCGGGTCTCTGCAAAGAAGTCAGCAACGGCGCGGCAATAATCAAAAGACGGTGGTTGTGACGGCGCGCGACGGCCCAAAGTAGCGGAGGAGAGTGCATTCTGTCCAGGGCTGTCAAGCGACACAGATGTGCGATGGTTGGCAAAACCGCTAGACAGCAAGGGACACCCTGGAGACAGGTAGACGCAACACCGAGGGCTTGGCTGCGTCGCAGGTGAGCGGAAAATGGAAAGCAGAGCGCCGACCATTGACGACAGCAGCTAGGTAGCTCATATTGCAATCCGTGGATAGGGGGAGCTTTAAGGGCGAGGAGCATCGGATATGTAAATTCGTACCATGCTGGTCTTGATTCTTGGAGGGGAGAATGAAGCCTTTCCACCACGATTTGAGATCGCGTTTGTTAGGGGGCGAGGAGGGCTGGAAAGACGGCGATGTCTGTGAGCCGGGCTGCTTGGCAGTTGGGGTAGCAGAGGCCATTGTATTATTATTTCGGAAAGGAGCGACGGAGAAGGAGGGAGTGGCTGAGAAGCTGTCACTCGATGCGGAAGGGACGCCAGAAGCGTCGCGGTGGATCAGCGCTCCTCAACGGGATGAGGCCGACTCTGGCACGGCGTGAGCGGATGCGACGGCGAGTGACACTGCGGAAAAATAGTGTAATTGTAGCAAGGTGCTGGAGGTTAGAATAAAAGAGTGGCAAAATGCGCTCGTTGTCGAGTCTCGGTCGAGTCGTTGCAGGGGCTGATGAGTAGAACGGGTTTGCCTTGGCTGTCCAACGTTGGTGGGCGGCGGCCGTGTAGGGAGAATCGAGAAGCGAGAAGCGAGAATCGAGAATCGAAAAGCGAGCAGTACGTCAAAGAATATGTCGGGCGAGAGAAAGGAGGGCTTTAAGGCGACGAGAGCGCAATGTGTGGAAGAGCGACGTATGCGTGGGTGAGGGAATCGCGGGCGCTTGGGGGGTTGGCCGTGGCGAGGAATGATGAGGATATGCAGGTTGGAGGGCAAGGCAGGAGGCAGTGCTCTACAGCGAAGGATGCGAGGAACATGTAACAAAGGGAAAGAGGTGAGCGCTATGAATTTAGGAAGATTGGTAGGGCCGTAGGTACCTCTTGCTAGTGGTAGGTACCTTAGACAAGCTTGGCGGCCAACTTGTACGGATATAGTTAGCTACCCAACTTTCTATACATGCACATGAACCTACCCGTCCGTGGTGGTTGCTTTCTTTTCTTCTCCCTTTTTTTTCTTCTTTTTCAAAATGTCTTTTCTAAGCAGGCGGACCGAGTGATTTTGCCAAACAAGATTGCAGGATGGAACGAAGAATGTGTAAAAACAGTAGACGGCACAGTGGCAGTCACCAGTGACAGCAGAAAAACACACTAACACCTAGGTACCTACCTACCTAGGCAACTAGGTAGGTCAGCACCTCAGGTATTGCGTCCTGGAACGGGCGAGCGCTGGTTCAAGCGCTAAATAAAACCCACCTCGAAATAAGCTAAATGAAGGAAATAAAACAAAACCACCTTTTGCGACAAGCAATTCCAGGCCCCAGGTACATGCGAATAACCCCGACAGCGGATGTGCTACCTGTAGGTACTTGGCCACAACACCTTAATCTGTGGCGCGGCCTTTGTCGCTGTCATGATGGGTGAGGCTGGTGCCAGTTGCCTGGGTACCTAAGGTACCTAGGTAATCTTGACCTCCCTACACCCTTTCAAAGTAAGAGCCACAGGCAACTATCGCTACTCTGTACCAATACGGAGTATTTACTTGAACCTGTTCATCATCAATCTGCCAACTTTCTTAGGTATCGGATAATTCTGATCAACCAGTGCGTACGTCCATGCCCTGCCGTCATGCTCGGCCAGGCCCAACACGGCTTGACAAAGTACCGATCACGTACCCGCCGCCTCCAGCCTACCTTTCCCAGAGGCTGCAGGTCGTCAGAACACTACACTCCAGCCTAGCCCGACTTTAAAATTAGTACAACCGCCGGCCTTCAGCCTTTGTCGCGCGCCTTATTTCATTATTACGAATAACCATGTCGAAACGGCATCTGCTCATCCCCCAGTCAAGTTGTTTGCGGTACAGTGTTGGTGCATGACAGCTTGTGCGAGACGGACGGGCCCAGGGATCTATCCGCCCCTTGCCATCTCTCTCACAGCCACAAATGATCAAGTATTACGGATACAAGGGGCTCTGATGCGTTCACCCAAAAACACGAGGGGAATTCAGTATCAAGTCTAGCCCTGTGCCGCACCATTTCCTGGCCAGAAGGCTTCTGCCCCGGCGCAGCCAAGGTTTCAGCGCAAGCCAGTGTGGCTTGTATTTTTTGGGCGGCACGCGCCGTGGCCAAAGTGTCTCGACTTTGACAACCCTCTTCTTGTTAGTGTCATCGGTTCATGCTGTGCTTCTTGCCCTAAGTGGTGGAGGATGCCCATCAGAGTCGCCGCTCGCTTTCCGCACGGTGCCAAGGAGTAGACTCCAACTGGCAACACCAACGTCACCACTCACCAGCGACTGAAACAGGGTTGCGATTGTTTCTGGACCTCGGGCTTCAGGCCTTCTAGCCGCCAACGAAAGCCTTGGCATCCAGACGGGTTTCAGTGGGTTGGCCCAGCGCCGCCCACCTTGGTATTTACAAGCTATGCACGCATTGGCATGGCAGTGCGGGCGTGGGACTGCCGGCATTATGTATCTTGTACCGATAACTAAGACAGGTCATCTTACTACCGATGTCACAATGTTATTATTAGCCTTGTCCAGCCTTGTGGTTACGCCACATGATATTTATCCGATCAACACAAAAGCGACTTGCAGAATAACCCCAAAGCCTTGGTGATGACTGATGGCAGAACCGAGAATCTGAATAGAGGTGAGGCCTGGTATTTTCATGACCCTGCCCTTATTTATCGCAACTATGTCAGGCAAGACGGCAACCTCCATTCAAGCTTTGTTCTAGCATGCATTACGCTAGGATCCGCGGCAATCTGGTCAATGACAAGAAACAAATACTGGGGCAGCCCTGTGTCTAAAAATAATTCAATACGACGATAAAAAACCCCGAGTCGGAAATCTAGACCACCTTCATACTACCGAGCCAAGAGGGCAACGGCATGTTCCAACGATAAGAAGCCAACGGCAAGAGTCCAACACCAAGATAGGTGATACTTACTCCGTATACGGATACAAGATACCTATCAACGGCGATACTCCTCTTCGTCTCCAGTTTATTTCCTTGGTTCCATTCAGGCATCGGAATGCCAACTACCTATTCGGGCCATTCTAGATAGCACTGCCGCCATCGCTCCCTTCTGCCGCATCCGGATCAGCATTGCGGCGACTTGTTCCTCTTGTTTTCCCCAAGCAATAACTAGACTTGGTGCACCCAAAAAGACGACTAATAGATTTTTGCATCGATGATGCGGGAGTCTCCCCGCGTGGCAGCCAACGATCCATTTCATGCACAGCCATCGCCCACACATTCAACAACAGGGAGCCAATCAATTAGTCAAACTGCTCGTAGGCCGGTCCAACGTTGATCTGTCCTCCATTTTCTCCCACCCCATATGTGTTGTCGATTGGTGAAGTCCTGTATTGTAGTGTGGAAATGATCTTCTTTTTTTTTTTTTTTTTTTTTTT